CCCTACGACCCCCACACTGACCCCAACGACTCCCCACAGGTAACACTGACCCCTACGACCCCCACACTGACCCCAACGACTCCCCACAGGTAACACTGACCCCTACGACCCCCCACACTGACCCCAACGACTCCCACAGGTAACACTGACCCCTACGACCCCCACACTGACCCTACGACCCCCACACTGACCCCTACGACCCCCACACTGACCCCTACGACCCCCACACTGACCCCTACGACCCCCACACTGACCCCTACGACCCCCACACTGACCCCTACGACCCCCCACACTGACCCCTACGACCCCCACACTGACCCCTACGACCCCCACACTGACCCCTACGACCCCCACACTGACCCCTACGACCCCCACACTGACCCCTATGACCCCCACACGTGACACTGACCCCTATAACCGAGGGCAGGACCATGAAGGCATTGACCGTGTTGAGCGCCGTGAAGAGAATGAGCACGTCCATGTCCGCCACTGCTCGCTGCGTGACCTTGGCGATGTTTTCCAGAAACATCCGTCGCACCTGTGGAAGGTCAAGGATTCTAGGTCACCACTGGACATTAGGATGGAATTGCGTGGCCTAGCGACAGAGAGCTACACGGCTAACCCGAATGTCTAAAGTTCGAATCCGGTTTCAAGTCAGTAGAATATCTCTGAGTCATCCAGCTCTGATGGGTACCTAACTTAGGTTAGGTAAAATAAAAGCGGGCCGGGTAGAGTGCTGACCACATCCATTTATATGCCGAGGTTTCTGTAACAGGTAAGCTCTACTTCATCTGCCACGTGTCTTTAAGTGGTATCTAGAGAACTTTAGCGCAGGTAGACAAACAGTTATCTGTCTAGAATTTGTCTTGAATACAAAGGTGGAGGATTACAGTAAACCATAGATAATGTTGGCGTTTGAGAGTGCTGTTCTGATTCCCTCTCTCCCGCTATCTTCCTCCCCTCCCTTCTTCCTTCCCTCTCTCTCTCCTTACCTCTGTGTCCCCCTCTCTTCCTCACTCTCAGCCTCCTCACTGCTTCCCTCCCTGCTTCTCTCATTTCTTCCCTCCCACTTACCATCCTTCCCCATCTTCCTCCATCCACCACCCCCCCCTGCTTCCTTCCATGTCCCTCCCTCTCTGCCACCTCTATGTCTCCCCCTCCTCCCCTTTCTCCAGTCCATGACCAGTTCCCGTTTCAACCACTCTATTATCAGGGACACGAAAAGCGTATAACAACAGCAGTCAGCGGTTATTCTAAATAACGGTCTCACCATAAACATCTGAAAAACGTTGTAGACCAGTTTGAACAGGATCAAACCCAGCATGGAGAAGACCATGAACATGCTGCCATATTGGTACTGGAGATTGTATGTCGGTCTGTCAGACAGAAGAGTTAAAACAGACATTATCAGATGTCTCAGCAAAAAAAAAATTATTAAATATTTCAAAAGAGTGATTTAGGCGAATTGATACCATTTATGTGATACTCGTATTTGATAGCATTTAAAAATTATTTAATATCGCTCATTTAAGTATAGTTTGAGTTGGTAGAATCAACTTGCCAAATTGGCAAAAAAAGTGCCAAAATAATAAATTTTGAGCTTACACGAGCCAATCTGGCATGTAGACGTAACCAGATTTTTCACATGCCGGAAGCGAGCAGAAGCAGGCGGAGATGGCCATGCTGCTGAGGACGAGAGCAGACATGTGTTTGATGTTGTCGGCCGCGTGAAATCTGGAATGAAAACAAAACAAAACAGTCAAGGACACCGATAGAGTAGGTTGTGAAGTAGGTTGTGAAGTGGTTGTGAAGTAGGTTGTGAAGTAGGTTGTGAAGTAGGTTGTGAAGTAGGTTGTGAAGTAGGTTGTGAAGTAGGTTGTGAAGTAGGTTGTGAAGTAGGTTGTGAAGTAGGTTGTGAAGTAGGTTGTGAAGTAGGTTGTGAAGTAGGTTGTGAAGTAGGTTGTGAAGCAGGTTGTGAAGTAGGTTGTGAAGTAGGTTGTGAAGCAGGTTGTGAAGTAGGTTGTGAAGTAGGTTGTGAAGTAGGTTGTGAAGCAGGTTGTGAAGCAGGTTGTGAAGTAGGTTGTGAAGCAGGTTGTGAAGTAGGTTGTGAAGTAGGTTGTGAAGTAGGTTGTGAGCATACTAAAAACCACAACTTTAAATTTATTTTTAAAGTTACATTAAGTAACCCCCACCCATCTTTCTTTATTTTGTAAGACACAACCATCACATTTAACAATGACCTTGACCTACTTATAAGGGTCAGTCAAGGACATGACGATGAGGTCACCGATGAAGGAGATGGCTAGGGGACTGTGGAATATGCAGGTCGTGTTCATGAACGCTATCCATGTCGTCTGGAAAACGGTGTAGGTCCACTCTTTGTGGGAAATTGCTGGAGGAAAAGGACAGTCTTTAAATGGCAAGATGAGTTTCTTTCAGGCATCTCTTCGTGGGGTGGGGGGGGGGAAGAGGGGGCACCACCCTTTCCTGAAGCTTATCTACCGTCCTTCCCATTCCCGAATGAAATAGCAATTTTATACAAAATATATACTTCAACCAGTGTCCGACCCCCGGAAATATAAATCCTCCCACCGGAAAGTTTTAAGTATCCCCACCTCCGTAAAAAATGTCTGAAAGAAACACTGATGACAAATCACCGCGAAATACAGCTGGCATATACTTTAAACAGCTGCCACATTTAAGCAACACTGAACACCAAAATTTGAGAAAGAAAGTACCGTTCTAATGATACTTTTTTCGGACATGACGGCCTATTTGGTAGGTAAAGTAGAGTTCACCTCAGCGACCACAGCATACGTGTGGTCAGTTTTGTCGCCCAGCCGTCACGCAAGCTCGGGATCAGAACTCGAGGGATTCGGGTTGATAGTCTTGACCTCTACTTCCCGACCACGGTCACATACAAGGTGAAATGTGTGATGCTTAAAAGTTGTTTAAAATGACAATTCAATGAAAAATGTGGAGTGGGAAAATAAAAAAAAAAACTATATTTCGTAGACGAATAAACGAAGAAGCAAAGAGTAAATATATAATTTTTTCTTCAACGGTGCCTGATAATCATCCAGGTGCTATTATAGTCACTTTACCTGGTGCTATTATCAGTGGCGTAGTCAGGATCGTCTTATGAGGGGGGGGGGGTTCAAATTTTTACCCGGGGACAAAATATTTTGATTTGCACCCCCGCCCCTTAAACTTTTGATTTGCACCCCCCCCCATCAAAATTTCGATTTGCACCCCCTCCCTTCAAACTTTCGATTTGCACCCCTCCCTCAAAATTTCGATTTACACCCCCTCATAGTTTATATATATACACCGAGGGGTCTATGGGGGGGGGGGGGGTTACGACCCCCCCCCCCCCCCTAACCCCACCTGCCTACGCCACTGCCTATTATAGTACTTACCTGGTGCTATTATAGTACTTACCTGGTGCTATTATAGTACTTACCTGGTGCTATTATAGTACTTACCTGGTGCTATTATAGTACTTACCTGGTGCTATTATAGTACTTACCTGGTGCTATTATAGTCACTTTACCTGGTGCTATTATAGTCACTAAGACAAGCTCTGATATGATGTCTGGCACCAACGCATTGTAGATGACCAATTTCTCAGAAATCTGATGAATAAATTCTTTTAGGATATATTTTCCTGAATACAATTACATTTTAAATATCCTTATCTAGTCAGTGATAATGTATTTTTAATATAATTTGTGTCATCTTTAGCAATTTCCGTTCTTTTGAAATTATTTCACAGATTGCCTCTTACTTGGCATTGTTTTGTGTTAATATGTAAGCAGATTCCTTTCTCCATTGTAGTTGGTTGTAATTTTACAACAAACTACCGGTTCTTAATTTTTTTTTCTATATTAATTATGTTTGGCATAACATTACGTGCTCTTAACAACGAGGTTTCAGGCTGGTTTACTATGACATGACACTGACATGACACTGACATGACACTGACATGACACTGACATGACACTGACATGAAACTGACATGACACTGACATGACACTGACAAGACACTGACATGACACTGACATGACACAGACATGACACTGACATGACACTGACATGACACTGACATGACACTGACATGACACTGACAAGACACTGACATGACACTGACATGACACAGACATGACACTGACATGACACTGACCTGAAACCGACATGACACTGACATGACACTGACATGACACTGACATGACACTGACATGACACTGACATGACACTGACATGACACTGACATGACACTTACATGACACTGACATGACACTGACATGACACTGACATGACACTGACATGACACTGACATGACACTGACATGACACTGACACGACACTGACATGACACTGACACGACATGACACTGACATGACACTGACCTTCATGTTCTCCCGCGTGCTGGTGAAGTATGTCAGCAGTACCAGTATGGTGGTGGCCAGCAGGTTGACCACCCCCACCCCGTAGGCCGCCCCGCTGTAAGCCGACACCTCCCCCCCACTCAGGTTCAGCTGGATGACCGGGTCGTGGATGATGATGGACGACAGCCTCTGGCTCATGGTGGCACGTCACGCCGTCACGTCACGTCGTCACGTCACGTTGTGTCACGCTCGGTCACGTCACCAAGATTGTAGCACGTAACGTCACGTCACGTCGAATTACGTCAAGCTACGTCACGTCACAAATACTGTTTCATGTAACGCCGGTGTCACGTCACGTTCTACAGCGTAGTGTCACGTACACAGTGTCACGTCACGGCGTACAGCGTAGTGTCACGTACAGAGTGTCACGTCACGGCGTACCGCGTAGTGTCACGTACACAGTGTCACGTCACGGCGTACCGCGTAGTGTCACGTACACAGTGTCACGTCACGGCGTACAGCGTAGTGTCACGTACACAGTGTCACGTCACGGCGTACAGCGTAGTGTCACGTACACAGTGTCACGTCACCTCCTACCGCGTAGTGTCACGTGCACAGTGTCACGTCACGGCGTACCTCGTAGTGTCACGTACACAGTGTCACGTCACGGCGTGCCGCGTAGTGTCACGTACACAGTGTCACGTCACGTTCTACAGCGTAGTGTCACGTACAGTGTCACGTCACGGCGTACCTCGTAGTGTCACGTACACAGTGTCACGTCACGTTCTACAGCGTAGTGTCACGTACAGTGTCACGTCACGGCGTACCTCGTAGTGTCACGTACACAGTGTCACGCCACGTAACGCTGTATTATGCTTGCACTATCTGTAGACAAAAATTAACCGTTTTAGGCCGGACGATGATTTTGATTGTTGAAGTAGAGTTCATCTGCTGCTGTAGCCCGGTCTATCAAGGGGTTGGGGGCCAACACTAAGCTGAACAAGAGTTAGGGTTAAGGATATGGTTAGGACCAGCGTTACGATGGGGTTTAGGTTGTATTAAATCATTCCAAACAATTGTTTTGCTCAGCTTCTATGTGAGTTACATTATCTAAAGGAAATTTTTTTCCCTTAATTCCTTAGGTCAGGATTAGGATTAGGATAAGGTTTTAGGGTTAAACTATATGTAGGATATAGGGTTATGGGTTGGGTCTAGGGTTAGGGTTAGGTTATGGGTGAGGTCTAGGGTCAAGGTTAGGTTATGGGTGAGGTCTAGGGTCAAGGTTAGGTTATGGGTGGGGGTCTAGGATTAGGGTTAGGTTATGGGTTGGGTCTAGGGTCAGGGTTGGGTTATGGGTGGTGTCTAGGGTTAGGGTTAGGTTATAGATTAGGGTTAGCTCTAGTGTCAGGATTAGGTTATGGCTTCGTTCTAGTAGATAACGTAGAGTTCACTTGTTTCTGTGACCTCGGCATAGAATGGATAGTGTGGTCAGGATAATGCCCAGCCGCGATAACTTCCCCTATTGTGTGACAACTACATGCCCATATGAACACTCAGTCATAAGGATTCGAGCCCGGGATCTAAACTCGAGACATTCGGGTTATCACTCGTTCGCTCTGCCGTCCTACCACACCGCATCACAACATTTTGGGGGCTCCTTACATTATGATCCTCTACAAGACTAATCTACCTGCTTACTTACAAGTTGTAGGGCCTGGTAGTATAGTTGGCCGTCTACTTGAGCCGGAAACGTCTATATATCTAGACTTGGCCGTCTATTTTAATATATTTTTAAATAAATACAGTTACAGGTAGCTGGCAAATTGTAAGTAGCACATACTGTAAGTAGTTTACATACTGATAACAAGAAATGTTACTGCAACCATCTGTTAAACACATCTCATTGTTGTGTTAAAATTTGACAGAGTCGACTTCTAAACACAATAAAACACAAAAATCTTTTTATTTTATAATCATTGTTTAGTTAGTAATAAGAGGTTCATAAAGTGAAAGTAATACTCACACATTCGGGAATTTCCAAAGCAGTGCGAAACGAGATTTTGGAGTTGGTTAATTAATGATGAAAGAAACAACTTAAGTAGCTCTGTTGGTGTTGTCAATGGTTTCTTGTTGATTTGTTTTTTCCGACACAATCGGAAATTAGAATTAACGTTACGCCGACATTAAACAAACCTTTACCCTAAGCAAATGCCCACAATTGTAACATGAAATTCTAAAATATCGCCATTCTACTACTTGGGTAAGGTTATTAAAAAAAACACTCAACGCTTTCTGTCTGTCATATTATCTTGTAAATGACTTATAATAACTTAATTGTTTAGCATAACTATTTTAACAAATTAATAATAATGGCTTAATCTTAATTAGATATATTTTAATACTTCGCTGTATTCAATTAACTTTCACCTTTACTGTGATTAATTAATATACACAACAGCTTTATAAAATTAACAATCTTTCAATAACATCTTCATCCTAACATTATACTAACATCTTCATCCTAACATTATCCTAACATCTTTATCATCACATTAGCCTAACATCTTCGTCCTCACAATATCCTAACATCTTCATCCTAACTTATCCTAACATCTTCATCCTAACATTATCCTAACATCATCCTAACATTATCCTAACATCTTCATCCTCACATTATTCTAACATCTCCATCCTAACTTTATCCTAACATCTCCATCCTAACATTATCCTAACATCGTCATCCCCACATTGACTTCACCCCATCCTTGTCATCACCATCCCATCATCATCCAAACAAATCCATCATCGATCTGTTATCATCTTTTTATTTTTATCTCATCATTACCTCACCTTTATCTCATCCCTACCTGCCCCCTAAACCCAAACACCGAACCGTCATCCATCTTGCGGCCTGACGACCGGTCGCGCGCGTCGCGAGCAAGCAATCGTTTGCACGTCTGCTTGGCGCGCGCGCCGCTGGACTGAAGAGCTCCTTCAGAGTCCGCCTTGAGAAAACAGAAGACCGGAGGAGGTCTCACTAGGATCAACCGGAAGTGGTCTGTCGTTTGGTGTTTGCTTGTTGGGCCATGGATAAAAAATGGTGGAGAAGGGATGACGGGTAATTGCGGGAAAGATAATGATGTATACGAGGGTGGGTGGGAGTGAGATAATTACTGGGTATAACAGTTCGTTAGTAGAGATTTTATGGAGAATTTCTGAGTTCGAGTGTTGAAGAGGGTGGGTAGGTGGGTGGGTCGACCCGTTAAAGGGTTATTGGTTCATTTTGCTTAGGTAGAAAACTATGTTATTGTTGAGTATTGTAAACGGAAATTAAACTACAATTGTGTCTGTTGTTTGCATTTTACCTTTCGGGATTCGCGAATAATTTATTGAGATGTACTTAAAGCATCAAGTAGGCCATATGATAAGTGCCCCAAACAGTAGCGTACGCAGGGGGGGAGCAGGGGGAGCGGCCGCTCCCCCTCTGGCCATTTTCAGCAAAGTGGCGCCTTTTTGGAAACTTTTTAAACTCAAAGTTTTAAACAATGATATTTGTTAACAAATTTTTGGTCGGCACATCTATGTAAATCACAAGATTTCTTTTCATGCAGCAATTAAGCATTATTGTACTAGTTTAGTAGTGTCTACGTTTACAACACGTATTAACAGCTGCATCAGTTTGCCATTCTAAAAATAACCATTACGATGCATTGCAATGTTTAAAAAACCTCTACGGTAGTACCACTTGGCAAGAGGGGTGTTAAGTTTAAGGCAACTGTATAATGTATTTGCTTACGAATAATTGAATTAGAAAATGTTATACATAAAACTTCACACACAATTACTTTATATATACAGTTTGAATCGTGTGATTAATTTTTAAAAAATTACAATACAGGAACAAATACAACTGATGTGGCACCTCTATTTAAATTTACTTATGAGCAAACTGCGTAGTGGTGGGGAAATTTTGACGTCATCACGATGAAGTAGTGGTATTCTTACAGTGTGGGCGATAGTGATTACGATTACAAATTATATGAAACAGTTACAACCCCCCTCCCCCATGGACCCCTCTGTAAAAAAAATATTGTCATAATACCACTGCTACTTATTTAAATCTATTTCTGTAATATATATTTGTGAAATATATATTTGTGTAATATATATGTATGCTTAGAACAGTCATCTAAAAACTGACGCCATGTTCACTCTGAGTTGGTTATCTCCCCCCCCCCCCCCTCATCACCACAATTGTGTAGAGCGACATTAATGTCACACCTAGGTATACACCGGGTTGGATAATTGACCAAAAGTGAACGGACAGTGGTGAATGAAGTTGAACCCACCCTTCCCTCCCCCAACCCAACCCGAACTGATCTGTTAAGTACATGTAGAAAAACGGGTAATGATGTACCAAAGTACCATGCCGCCAGAAAATTAGCTTTTTAAACGTAAAACTCTGTGAATATTGTTTTTGCAATTACCAGTAAAAAGTTGTGTGATCAATACAGTGATCTAACTCAGGGGTCGGCAACCTGCGGCTCGCGAGCCGCATGCGGCTCTTTTGATGCCAAGATGCGGCTCTTCAGCTCCATGCACAAATATTTATAATTTTTTTATTTTCGAAAATTAAAAATACTGTTCTACATCATTCGGTGATGAATGATATAATAATAAATATAAACAATAAACACTCGCTATTATATTAGAATATTTATTTACTCCCTATTTCAATGTACTTTCTATTATATATATATATATATATATATATATATATATATATATATATATATATATATATATATTATCCTAATAAAATATCATAATATTGAAATAAAAAATGTGTGTGGCTCTTTAAAACTGGGAAATTTTGTAAATTGCAACTTTTGGCTCTTCCGTCTCAAAAGGTTGCCGACCCCTGATCTAACCCATACCTATCACTATGTTAAAAAATTATTCTTTAAAGAACACAAAGAAGAAGTAGTTAACTAAAATATATGATCTGAACTAAAAAGACCAATGTTTAGTTAAACGTAGGCTCTTATTCCTTATGTTTTTCTATTAATCCGAAAAGCGTGGTTTTATACCAACTCTGATTTTAAAAACTTTCATTATGATGTAATACTTTAGCATTTATGATGACGATATATTAAATTCTGATTATAGACAACAAAATTTTGTAAACACGAATAGTGTGAAATAATTTCATTATAATCTAAAGTAATTATTTATTTGTTTTGACATTTATAATTAAATGTGTAGATATATACATATTTATATTAAGAGAGTGATTATTGCCCCTTTTTCACTTGTCTTAAATAATTTCCCAGGAATTATTATGTAAGAAATTTTTTTACAAGAATTACAAAACAGATTGTGTTAAGTTCATTGTTTTTGGTTGTAGTGTGTGTACATATATATATATTTTTTTTTTAGATTGATACAATTTTTGTTTTGTCGGCCTACATTGTGTGTTTTTTCTTATTTCTCCAGAGTGCTACTTTTAATTTATTTTACATCATAGCGAAGTAACGACATACAGCTTAATTATATATATATATATATATATATATATATATATATATATTTATATATATATATATATATATAATACACGTATATAGAACGTGTTAAATATTTGGCGCCTTTTTTGCTCTTTTCGCTCCCCCTACAACGAAAACCTGGATACGCCTCTGGCCCCAAAACACGAAGTAGATATTTAAGAAGTGCGGAAATACCAAGTAGATAATGATAAGTGCCCAAAAGCACCAAGTAGAATGATAACTGATAAGTGTCCTAAGCACCAACTAGATACATGATAAGTGCCCTAAGCACCAAGTAGATAAATGATAAGTGCTCAAAGCACTAAGTAGGCCATACGATGTGTGCACAAACCACCAAGGGTTTTAGAAGAAATGCCCGAAACGTTTATGCACGATTTGAAAAAGAGTAAAAAATGTTCCTTGACATCCACAACAAAGTAGTAACACACTCAAGTCAATTTTGAACAAGAGTTTCAATAGGTTTTTGTTATTAAGGCAGTAGATGTTCAAGTGAAAGTAGGCAATTAAATAGTGCCAATGCTTTCACTAAGTCGGGTGAGGTAACCCAGGGTGCCCCCCCCTCCCCCCCCCCCCTCCCACACACACACCTGCTAACGATGTACTAAAATTAAAGGCTATTTGGTGTCCCCAGTTCTTGAGTTGGTGTATAGCTTTAGTAAGTTCTTAAACTTACTTGAAAGATAAGCCAATTTCTCAGTAACATTCGATACTTTTTGTTTTGGTGTCACCCCGTTGGATGGTATCACATTTAAAACACACGTTGATTAATTAAATGTAGTAAAAAAAAAATAGGGATAATTCCCTTTTCCAACCCGACAGTCCATGGGGGCAAGTGAAGTAGAGTTCACCTGTTTCTGTGATCTCGGCATATAAAGAGATAGTGTGGTCAGCCGCCTCTACTTTCCCAACGTGAATTGGGTACCCATCAGAGCTGGGTGGAATGCAAATATTCATAATTAGCGAATACACCTTATACTAGTTATCAGCAGAGTCTAATTAATCGACAAAGTATCGCAAATTTTTCCTACTAAATTATTTGTCCAACTTTAATTTTCAATTAAAATACAGGTTAACTCTACTGCTATTTATTTAATTTCATTGTTTCTGATCCTGTGTTTTTAAATCAAAATTTCGCAGGAATTAGCGATCGAATAAAAACTGTCTTATCCGTTATCGAACTCGGCTTAAACTGCTGGGACAAGATGTTTGGCGCGGGGCCTCCCAGGGTCTTCGCTAAGTTCCCCACCCCGACACTCAAGCACGGGGTGCTGATCCTAGCGCCGCTCCCACCCCGGCGGCACCACGCGCCCGCCAGAACCAACTTCTGCAGGGCGCCGCCCTAACGGTTTTCGTTTCACCAACGACGTCATGCCGGAAAAAGCCGGTCGAGCCGAGGATGCCTCCATCTCTCCTCACAGTTCACGGGTAAAGAACCCCCCAAGTTCTAGATTAGCCGGTTTATTTTTTTACCCCCCATCCCACCCCACCCCATCGAAGTGAGCGGGTCGCCCGGCTTAGTTTAAACTTTTAATGGACGGATTTGCCGGCCCCTTGATGGCCTCACACAAATGACAGAGATATCCGATTGTCTCCCCGCTCCATCGCGATTACTGCCCTTGTTACAGCACTTGACGCGATAAAAAACCCGGGCTGGGAACTCAGCAGACGAGCGGTTCCACAATCTCCAGACGGTCAGCCGGCCAGCGCCACCAGCCGTCTATCTGGCTTCTTGATATAGTCGTTTGCTGTACTTTTTTAAAAGTTGTACTGTACTTCCCAAGAGGGTATTGATATACTCGTTATACTATACTTTTTTTAGAGTTATACTTTACTTCCCTAGAGGGTATTGATATACTTGTTATACTGTATTGTTTTTTTAAGAATAATTGAGAAAGTTTAGGGGAGATCACTCCCGGTTTATTTGGTTATACTTGCCTTCTCTAGAGGATATTGATATACTCGTTATAATGTACTTTTATTGAGGGTATTGATACACTCTATATACTGTACTTTTATGGAGGCTTTTCACATAGTCTTTATACTGTACTTCTTTGGATTTTTATACTACTTCTTTAGGGGCTATGGATATACTCAATATACTGTACTTCTATAGAGGTTGTTGATATCGTCGTTATATTATACTTCTTTAGAGATATACTGTATTTTAGGGGCTATCGATATACTCGAAATACTGTACTTCTATAGAGGTTATTGATATAGTCGTTATACTGTTCTTCTTTAGAGATATACTGTACTTTAAATGCTATTGATATACTTGATATACTAAACTTCTCTAGAGTAAATGCGGCAGTTAATGAGCGTACATTAATATAGTGTTTAGCTGTGCTGTTCTAGTCATAGGTGAGTCTAGCCTAAAGACGGTGGGGGGAGGGGGGGGGGGACACACTCCGTTTCACTTGCCTCTGATATTTGTTGCTTTTTTTTTCTACCTGTAGTAATTTATCTAGATTGAATTTGAAATTATGCAATACAGTCTTCATTATGTAAGTAAAAAGTCATACGGGGTGGGGGTGGGGTAGTTGGTAAGGGAGGGAATCTCTCTTTTTTTTTTTTTACTTTTTGCATACACTTGTACTGTTCACTATAATTTTCTTCTTAACAAAATTTTGGGTCTAAGATTTATAGTCTAAATTATATTCTTTTTATAAAGTAGTTTCATACGTGTTTATTTTGATGAAGGCCTCAAGTCGAAACCTCATTAGTTGCTTATGTTTTCCTTTTTAAAATGACCTAAAGAAAGCGGTTTTCTAAAATCAAAGTATTTAATTACATCAAGCAGTATGTCGTTTATATTGCTTTATCATCTTCATTGCGTTTCGGTTTTTGTCTTAATTAAAGTAATGAACATGAAGTAATCAGTGCACGCGGCTTAATTAAACAAACACTAACCACATCTCCGGTTCAATTCTCTGACAACACTTCCGATTTTTGCCGGTTAGACGGCTGGAGGTGCTCTAGCCGGTTATCTCCGGCTAAGCCGAAGATCGGCGAGGGTAAAAATCTTTCAAGATGTTTAAAGCGATCGCCAGGAATATCATATTTAAAACTGCCGTCTTCCTCCGCGCTGATAGATTATCCGGGAATCGATACTCGAGGGCCGAGTTTGGCCGAGGCCGAGTATTGACTGCGTGCGCAACCGCCGCGCGCACGTCTGCGGGATGAGAAGCTCTCTGACTGGATGACGTCAGAGGGGCAGTGTCGATTTCCGCGAGTTAATGGCGGGAAAAGATGGACGCGGTGGATACACCTGCTTTTTTTTTAGAGGGACACGGGGTGGCCGAAGAATTAAAAAAAAGGGGTGGGGAGTATGGAAGGGGTGGGGGTGGGGGGGGGGGGGGGGTGGCAAAACAAAAGAGGGAGGCAATCGTATAAAAGGGGAAATAAATCGGAAGATTACTTTTAGAGTTGGAAAATTGAAAGATGGGACATCGGTTGACAGAAATTTAAAGATAGTTTTAGAACACATGACTTTTTAATGTGGCCTCAGCCTGGAGTACTTAAAAAATAATTAACCCGCTGAATTAATTTGTTTTAGTGTCCAGACATCGGCAAATATAATGGGTAAGTTGGTTCGTTTTGAATTATTCCAATTCGTGCATAACAATCTAGGTAAAAATTAAATCTGTTGATTTTTATCAGCTGAGTTTTTTAATTTGATTTTATAAATAATAATTATAACAATAGATACAAAGCAACCGTAGAAAAATTATATTATTATAAAATTATTGCTTTTTTAAAAAGAAAAACATGCGTTTAAAAAAATTACCTTAATATAAACTTTTTGTCGTCATTGTTCACTTAATGGTGGTATAATCGTTGATTACATAACGTGTGAACGACGCAACTATTTTTGCTATACTACACTAGATTCTAGAAATTACATAATAATGGACTCTTCGTTAAACTTGTTAGGTTAATTAATGACAGTAGTTGGGTTACTGGAATTAAATTAGTTAAATATCAGCAATTACAACTTCCTGATGTCAAAGCTTAATAATACTTAGTAATACTTTCAGGTACTTGCATTCACTGAAAATGGTTTACTAATACATAATACAAACCGCCCAATCTCATTTTTTTACACCTGAAAATTTAAGAGTTTGTGGAGTCAAAAAAATTCTGAAGGTGGAAAATAAACCCAGCTCTCAACGTTCGATATATTACGCTTTCAAAAATGTAAAGCTCAGTCTTTTATTAAAGCTACCAGTTTTCTAATTAAATTAGAGCAAAGTGATAACATAACACACACAGGTAAACGTGTAAAGAACATACACATTTATCAAATAGTAGTTGCAAATTTTAAGTCAATTAAAATAATAAATGATAATGTCATTTTTACTGTTAAATTTGAATACTATTGTAATTTTGCGACTTTTTTAAACAAGTTAGGAGGTGTCTCCCTTGATTATAAATGAGCAGTAGGTCAAACACATACGTAATCAAAGTTAAAAGTAAGATAATTATATAACCCTTGTTTCTACTTTTTCTACACTGTAATATATTAATTTTGAATAAATAAATAAATTAATTAATTAATTAAATAAATAAATAAATAAAATAATAAATAAATAAATAAATAAATAAATAAATAAATAAATAAATAAATAAATAAATAAATAAATAAATAAATAAATAAATAAATAAATAAATAAATAAATAAATAAATAAATAAATAAATAAATAAATAAATAAATAAATAAATAAATAAATAAATAAATAAATTATATATATATATATATATATATATATATATATATATATATATATATATATATATATATATATATATATATATATATATATATATATATATATATATATATATATATATATTCGCGCACAATGTTTGATTCTATTTAATAAATCATTGTATTTTCAATATTTTATTTTGAACCCAAAAAAAAACAAATCAGTAAGATCTTCAGACTGAGAGTAGGAACATGCACAGTTGTATAAGTTAAATGCTCTTGGTTCTTATTTATCTTTTACTGTGAGAACAATCTAATGTCTGCCGTATAGACCCCCTGTCTATAGATAACTTTCACAACTTTAAAAATTAGAGTTTAAAATTTTTTATGAAACTTTACAAAAAAAACCCAGATCACCACAATAAATAAAGCCATTATTTTACTCATACATTCTTTATAAATAGAATAAAGCTGTAGAAATTCAACAACAATCTTAAAACAGGTTCCAGTTAAATCTTGGATGATTTCATCTTTATTTCTGAAAAAAAAAATGTAAATCATGTTTGTGATAATTATTTCCCAATTTTAAAACAACAACAACAAAAAACGTATGATTTAGGGAAAAAAATACCATCAAATCGTATTTTTTTCAAGCATGGTAAAAATCTCTGCTGAAATAGTAAAAAAATGTAAATACAATACAATAAAAAATAAGGTGATGAAACTATTAAACTTGGTCTTGCTATATTTAGACATGGTGTTACTGTATTTAAAAATGATGAAATATTTTATTTTAATATTTAATTTGCAATGATTATTTTGAATACATACGGATTGGAGATGTTTGTGAAAAACATCTTTAAAAAAAAATTAAATAGATTACCTATCATAAAAAGTACAAAAATATTTTTCTCTTTTTAGTACATATAAAAGCTTATCATAAAAAGGTTTTTATATTAATTTGTGTTTATTATTGTTTTTTAAACGTTAGTAAAATCACATAGATAAAAAACTTTTCATTTAAAGAAAGCAAACAATGTATGAATAACAGCGAGGAAAATTAGTAATTTATACAGTTAACTAGTTATTATAGAAACATTAAATATTTTAAAATTAAACATTTAATTAAGTTAATTTCTATGCCTTTTTACATTGTCGCCCTGTCATGTTTGATAGAAATCAATCCGTTAGAAGTAGTTGACGACAGAAGAAAAACAAAAATAGACTTAAGCGCGGGTGAGGAATCAAATAAAATAAAAACAAGTTAAAAGCTTCGTCTGTTGGGGGAGAACAATGGTGAGAAATCTATGACGAATAAGTGTTGAATGTTTGCAAGTCATTACCGTTGTATGGACCGATTATGTAGTTGTTTACATATCGATCTACGCAGTGGCGTAGCCAGGATCATCTCATTGGGGGGGGGGGGGGGGCTCAAATTTTTCCCCGCATTATAAATGTATATATCAGAGGCGTAGCGTCCCTCCCTGGCCCCCGAGGACAAACTTTTGATTTGCACCCCCCCCCCCTCAAACTTTTGATTTGCACCCCCCCTCAAACTTTTGATTTGCATCTCCCGCTCAACCTTTATGTATCTACCGAGGGGTCTATGGGGGGGGGGGGGGTTCTGATCCCCCTAACCCCCCTGCCTACGCCACAGGATCTACGTAGAAACGGTATTAAAGTAGGTCTACTCGAACATAGCTGAGTTAGAAAATTGAAAGTTTTGACTCTAGAGTTATGTTTACAGTAGTTATTGATAAGTCAAATTGTGTTATTTAAAGTGGATAATTGTGTAATTTAAAAAGTCGATGTGTGGCTTTTAAAGAGCAGTTTTGTATCATTTAAAGAGTCCATTTGTGACATTTAAAGAGAATAATTGTGTCATTTAAAAAAGTCGATTTGTGACATTTAAAGAGCGCATGTAGATGAACTAGAAAAAAAATATCAATGTTAACAATAACAAGGTTTTATTTACGCACTAAAAGTAAAAATAACACCATGTTCCATAAATTTAATATAGTAATGCTCCACTACTTCTATACCAATAAAGAAAAGCGTGTTTTGATCTATTACCGCTGCAATTTGGAAATTAGTGGCAATTTGGAAATTATATAGGGCCTATGCGCTTCGCCTCAAATATTCTTAATAAAATTGTATGAGCGACTAGTATTTTAAAAAATCGCTCGAAGAATTAGGTCCACAAAACACTGATCATTTAGCACACAGATACAATCTATCCATATATATAATTCTCGTCTGGGAGCCGTTAGAAAATAAGCTGCAAGCGCCTCCTTGCAGTCCCCTCTCTGTCTCTCTATCACTACCACCCCCACATTGTCTGGTGAGCGGTGTTCACTCTAAATTTTTACAAAGCTAAATGTTTACAAATCGTAGAGCCGTAGAGCGGGGCAGATAATTTAGTTCGATTTTAAACTTACAGGAGGTAACTAAGAAATAACTAAGAGGAGGCTGCTTTCACGGGGGGGGGGGGGGGGGGGAGTAGGGTCGGGGTTAGGGGAAAGGGGTGGGGGTAGTGTTTTAAAGCAAATATTTTCAGTGGCAGCATTGGTACTGTCGAATTCACAAATTATGAATTACTGAAAAGTAGAAAATAAAACAACTAAATAGCGGCGTATGTTATGCCGCGGGCCGGCTCGTATCAGTAAAAATAGGAAGGGTCTCCCAGACTTTTGTCTAAAAATCTACATTGTGAGGTAAGCTGCAGAATATTCTAGAAATTAAAATAACTGAAGGCGTCGGCGTGGTCGAGTAGGTAAAGCCCATGGTTGCTAAACCGGGCAGATGAGGCTCGTTAGCTGGGGACAGCCACTAAAAACTTAAAGAGACAAAGTAGCTATTTTTAAAAAATGTAAATAAGAACGGAGGTTTTTGTTTCGAAACTAAAAATTGCTTACTCAAACTTTCAATATATTTTTAATGGCACAACAAAGAATTAAAAAAAAAATAGTAAGGATTATTATAATTTAAAAAAAAAAACAACGGTAGTTTCGCCCCCGGAATACTTCGTTACACATCAATATATGTGATTTAGACTATTCTTTCAAACATGTTTTGGTATAAACGAACACAAGTATTGAAAAAGACGTCACAATGCAACTAAAGCAAATAAATTGAAAACAAAACAATTAGCCTAATTGTCTTATATTATTGAAGCAAATATAAATATACATTACTAATTTTGTTACTTTTAATAATTAGTATGATTTTTTTCCATTACTTACTTGATAAGAAAATTTGTGATAGTATAATTTAGTATCTGTCTAACTAATTTATTCACAACGTATTTTTGCGTCTGTTTGTATTAAACCCATGTTTACATTCAGCTTTCCACGGAAACAGCTTCGTGGTTGAAAATAGCTATTAGTCCAAAACGAGGCACTTTTGAATAATTAGTTTGATTATTCTCAAACTATGAAAAAAGGGTGTGCATCATATTATGTTAGAAAAGCACAATCTATTAATTAAGGGTTTACTTACTTGATTGATACAAATGTGCATGTGGTAGTTAATATTCTTCACAAAAAACGTACACAAATTTGGACATATTATTACACACACAAATACGCACACAAATACACACACACAATTCCCCACAAATAGGCCCACACACCCAATTACTGACAAGACACACGGATTAACACACAATTACACACATAAACACTTAAATATACACCAATACACACACAAATACGCATTCAATTACACACACACACATACACACAATATTTGCTGACACAATTATACTCAAATACATACACAATTACACACACACAAATACACACCAACACAAACACAAACACACACACTTAAATACACATAAATTCACACACAAAATCACATAATCACAATCACTCGCACACACATATATACACATTCACACACAATTACACAAAGACTATCATACACAAAAATACACTTACAAATACACCCACAATTACATACACAAATACACAAACACACACATTAACCCAAAACACAGATGTGATGCTACAAAAACTGCTACCATTGTTTATACTTATATAATATATGTACTTATATAACTGCTTGGATGACATCCGATTCACAGCATCGCTCTACAACAGGGGTTCCCAACCCCGTGCCCGCGGGCGCCAAAGCGCCCGCCGAACGATTCGTAAGTGCCCGCCTCTCACTATTCGACAGAGACAGAATTTTTTTCATAAACATTATTGAAAGGTTGAAGGGGATGGAAATCGAAAATTTGAGGGGGGGGGGGGGGTGCAAATAAAAAATTTGAGGGGGGGTGCAAATCGTAAGGGTCGCTACGCCTCTGGAAGGAGTTTGTCGATTTAAAATAGGTGGTGCCCGCCACCCTACCGATATTTTAGAATGTGCTCTAGAATAAAATAAACCGGGAGTGATCTCCCCTAAACTTTCTCGAATATTCTTATATAAAACAACAGGGGATGGGAACTCGGGCTATAGATATGATTTTTAATCAATTTTAAATACTTAAAGTTTTTAAAATAGAATAAAATCTCGTAGACAAAAGAAGTGCACACCAAGTGAACGCCAAATAAAAAGTGCATAATAGTGCGCAATATTATTAGTACTTAAAAAATTTACATTCGTTTTTTTGAGAAATTGGAAGTAGCGTAAATTACTACTTTCGGTCAACGGAAATTACTCAAAATTTTACAGAAGGTAGAAAATTAGATCTTTTACTTACATGTGAAATTTCATTTATCTATCTAAAATAGTACTCAAGTTATAGGCTTTTGAAAAATTCAAAGTAGGAAAAGTACCACTTCCGGTTTTCGGAAATCGCTCAAAAGTTGATACGGATCTACGATTTTGATAAAATACTTATATATGAAATTTCATCAACCTAGCTGTAACGGTACTCAAGTTATCGTGTTTACACACGGACAGACACACACACAGACACACACACACACAGACATACGGACAAGATTGCAAAATTATGTTTTTCCATATCAGTGAGGTGTAAAACGTCGAGATTTGTAAAAATCTCGATTTTTTTTTTTGCACGATTACAATACTTTCTCTATACTACGTATATACGAGAAAGTAAAAATAGGAGAAAATCTCATCAAACGCTGCATGTACGTAAATGTTAAATAACACATTTTTATTGAAATTAAGCTTTCACCGTTGTTTGCTTTTCAAGTTGATAAATCAACAAACGTGAGTTCGTGTTGCAGTTGCTGGTCTGTGTCTATATTCATGCGGATGATAGCAAAGAAGTGTTGCTATTTTGTGAAGATAGCATGGAGAAAATAAATACCTTTTTTAAAAACTGGATGATTAAAATGGGTTAGAACGGCTGTGGGGGTTTGTACAGATGGTGCGCCATCTATGTTTAGCTCAAAATCGGCCTTTCAGAAAACAGAAAAGATTTAGCTCTCTAACCACTGCCCTAACCAATCGACATCAAGAGTCCATTGCTAGTATAAGTCGTAAATTATATAAAAATCTGGAGCCTTCAAAGAACTGAGCAAAAACGTTAATATAGATCACGAGGTTCTGCTCTTCTACACTACAGTACGCTGACTGTCAAACGAAATGTTGTAAATTGTGTTTTTGAATTGAAATCTGAAATCAAATTGTTCTTGGGAGTGCAAAGGAAAGAAGACTTTTTGATATACTTAAAACGACATAGAGTGGTTGGAGAGAGTATCATACCTAGCAGATGTGTTCGAACATCAAGATAAGCTTAACCTTAAGCTTCAGGGAAAATGAACGAATATTACAACTTTCCTTGATAATCTCGGGGCATTTTTATCAAAGCTGCAAAATCGGTAAAGAAACCAAATCGTGGAAATATTGTAAATTTGAGAAACTCTGCTGTGTGGTAGATGAATCTGATTGTGAGATAATTAAAATTTTGAAAGAAGCGATTTCTGGGCATCTTGAATCTCTTGAAAACGAACTGCATGGCTATTTCTCTGAGCTAAAAAAAGAAGAATCTGCATTTACGCATTACCCATTCTCTTCTTCCCTTGATGTTGCCAGCATTCCCGATGAATTACAAGATGAATTCTTTGATTTGCAGAATGATTTCGAGCAAAATGAAAAACTGCAGGCACAATTTTGGTGTAGTCTTCGCCATTCATACCCAAACGTAAAATTGATTGACTTTTCGAGAATATATTTTCAACACTATTCTTCGATTAAAAACAAAATTAAGATAATTATAACGACATAGGTTGGCTTTAACAAAATATTTTTAAATTAAAAACTTAACCACGAAGGTTTAGTGAATAGTATGCAATTTTACTCATGCTATTAAAACAGTTATCAAGAGTAGTTCATATTGAAAGTCTACTAGAAAACCTTATTTTAGTGCTTATTAATTTCCATACTAATTTCGGCTTTTTAATTCTATGGGGGTCGCGGGTCACTTACTTTTTATAAAAGGGGGTCGCCACTCGAAAAAGGTTGGGAACCACTGATCTATATCTATACAGTCCTCAATTAGTTTTTTTTTTTCCTTTTTTTTTATTAATTCAATTGCTTTAAACATTTAAATCAGTAATAATTATTTATTTGATAGATTTTACACAGCATCAAAGACATGAACATCAATTGCTTATATAATAATCAGAGCTTTTTTTTTTCTTTTTATACATAATAATCAGAGCTATTTGAAACTAGCTTTCTATATTTTCCTTGATTGCCCATTAACTCAATCGTGTTTTTAAAATATGTGTATACATTTACTATTTAATAAAGCTGATAGTTTCATAAGTAGATTAATATCAAATAACAAGTTCGATATGCTAGATATTTAAATAGTATATTTTTAATACGAAGGACCAAATTATTGTTTAAAAAAAATACATATTAAATATTTTTTTGTAAAAATATTTTGTAATAATTGAATTTAATTTTATACCTAGCAACTTTTGGTAATGCAATAAGGGTTGTCTCCCTTATTGTTAGCTTTCAATGTAATGCTATTTATAACACTCTTTGCAACATAGTACTACGTTTTCTCCTTGATATCAATATTAAACAAACACTTTTTTAAAACTTTGTATTATATTCATTTAGAGAATATAGTATACTAACCATCGGTACCCGTTTCACGTGAATTATAGGCCTATATATTTTAAAATGTTGTACTTGTTTGAGAAAAATAATTTATAAAATAATTATTGGTCAAAACGCAATGTGCTTTACTACATCAGGGGCGTAGCGGTGGGGGGGGGGGGGGGGGGGGGACGACAGACATATGTCCCCGGGCGCCGACCTTAGGGGGCGCCAAAATGGGTTGGAAAAATAAATTGAAAGGCTTGAGGGGGGTGCCTACGCCACTGGTGGTGTATATGATGTAGGATAAGTTAGTGGTTGTGGGTCACGTGATAAGTAAGGTGGGATGTGGGTTGTTGATTGTGGAGTGTGGGTTTTAATGTGTGTTGAAAAGTAGTGTTATTTTCGGGGTGAGGTGTGGGGTGTTGTGGTTCAGGTTGTAGGGTTGTGTTCTTGCCGTTCAGTGACGTGTGTACCGGGTTTATGAGGGGTTGCTCCAGGGTGTGGTTCCTGGTGTCGTGTGGTTTGTGGTTTGGACTACCTCCCTGTGTGGTGTTGTGTATGGGACGTCGTGTGTGTGGTTTGGGATGAGTGAATGGGCGTGTATTGTGGGGGTTAGTAGTGTGGGGTTAGGGATATGCTTTATGGTTTAGTGAAATCGTGGGGGTTAGTGGTGGGGGGTTTGGTTTGTGCTTTGTGGTTTAGTGAAATCGTGGGGGTTAGTGGTGAGGGGTTTGGGATGTGCTTTATGGTGCAGTTGGATGCGTCGTGTTGGTAACGGTGTGGGCTGGGGTGTGGGGTTTGGTTTTGTTTATTGTGTCATGCGAGTTGGGGTACGTTTTATTATGTCCCCTACTATTATTCTCTCCCCATAATTCTTTTTAACATCTAATGTGAAATGAATATTTTTAGCACAAGAATTACAGAAAAAAAACACACCAAACAACCGACTTGTTTAGCGTCTTTTTTTTTCTGTCCATTAAAAAGTAAATTGCAGAGTTTCACACCACAGCTGAGCACCGGTATGCAACACACACGTATACACACACACACACACATATATATATATATATATATATATATATATATATATATATATATATATATATATGTATATATATATATATATACATATATAGTGTGTGTATGTATGTGTGCGTATGTATATAGATGGTATGATTCCATTCCTTATCCCCTGTGGCAGGTCGCACCTTGCCTGTCCCCGTATCTTGTGAGGTGTGTGGGGACAAGAGTTATGGCAAGCACTACGGTGTCTTCTGCTGCGACGGCTGCTCGTGTTTCTTCAAGAGGAGCATTCGGAAAAATATCAACTACTCCTGCATTGGTGAGTACTTATATTTTTAGTATTGGTGAGTAAATTCTCTCATTGGTGAGTACTTATATTTTTTGTATTGGTGAGTTAGTAAATTCTTTCATTAGTGACTGCTTTCATTCATGCATTGGTGAGTACTTACATTTTTAGAATTTGTGAGTACTTACATTTTTAGTATTGGTGAGTTAGTAAATTCTTTCATTGGTGTGTTCTCAAAAACATGCATTCATGATTTCGTAACACCTGAATTGATACGTTCTAAAAATTTTGCATTGGTGAGATTTTTAATTCTTACATTAGTGAACTGTTGATATTCAAAAGTAAATTTCTGTAGAGCACAAAATGCCATGCACTTTCCATTTTCGGCGGTTTGCCCGTGCAATCTGTACACGTAAAAGTTGGGCGAACACCCAAAAAGATCAAATAAATTTCTGTCGGGTAGTACATTGAACTCAAAACGGGCTAGTCGTCATTCAACATGTAGCTTCACTTCACCCTTCCAATCTTTTTCACCAGAGTTAAAGCCCCTGAGTTTTGGAGCTCTTCTTCGTAAAAAGTCCTTGCATTTATCAGTTGCAATTTCTTGCATTTATAATTCTTAAATGCGTAAAGTTATAAAATTGAAATAATTTGTTCGATTGTGTATTCTTTATTCTTGTGTTGGCGGTTCCTAAAACTTTGGTACTAGAAAAAAAATGTCGCCAGAGTTTGATGGCTCATTTATTACTTGTGGGGGAGGGGGGGGGGGGGTCTGTGTATTTTCTGTATAACATTTTTTTTTATTTCGTTGTTACATTGATCTGACAGTTAAGATTTGTTTCAGGTAAAGGAAATTGTCTGATTGACAAGGCCAGAAGAAACTGGTGCCCCCACTGCAGACTACAGAAGTGTTTTGCTGTCAGCATGAATAGAAATGGTGAGTGGAGGTTTGGTGTGGTTAATATATTAGTCGTGTGGTTGATGAATTAGTCTTGTGGTTGATGAATTAGTGGTGTGGTTGATGAATTAGTGGTGTGGTTGATGAATTAGTGGTGTGGTTGATGAATTAGTCTTGTGGTTGATGAATTAGTGGTGTGGTTGATGAATTAGTGGTGTGGTTGATGAATTAGTCTTGTGGTTGATGAATTAGTGGTGTGGTTGATGAATTAGTGGTGTGGTTGATGAATTAGTCTTGTGGTTGATGAATTAGTGGTGTGGTTGATGAATTAGTGGTGTGGTTGAGGAATTAGTGGTGTGGTTGATGAATTAGTCGTGTGTTTGGTGAATGACTCGTGTTATTGATGAAGTAGTCGTATGGTTGAAGAATTAGTGGTGTGGTTGATGAATTAGTCGTGTGGTTGATGAATTAGTCGTGTGGTTGATGAAGTGGTCGTGTGGTTGATAAAGTAGTGGTGTGGTTGATGCTATGCTGAGTTGAACTAGTCGTGTGGAGAAAATGGGACGAGTGATACGATGACAAAAGTCAGTGTTGTTAGCAATGAGGAAAAAAATGAATACGTTGCTAATACTATGACAAAGGATAACTCAACCAAGCGGTCTTAACATAAACACAATGCTCGAGGGTAACTATTAAAAATTAAACTATTATTTCAACTAAAATCTTTGTGTATTGTGAAAAATCTAGTTTGAAATTTTTAGTTTATAATGGCATTTACAGCAGATCTTGCTAAAACAGCGAGATATGGTTATTATTATGATGTGGAACTATGTATATGTTATTTACCCCCTTGTAAAAGACGCACAATTGTATAAATGTATATATGAAAATTTCTTTTTATTCTAGAAATAATTTTATTTGTATAGGCTGGTTAACGCCCAACATGCAAATTAATATTTTTTTTCTTTGCGCCACTAATGAAAGCATTCCCAGTATTAAATGTATGTAAACTATTTATTTCAAAGACATAAAAAGAAGAATGCGAATCGAATACAAGCGTTTAAGGAACGCATTCAAAAGAAAGGTTTCAGACACTCCAAAACGCCAATTATTGAATAAATATGCACACACAAAAAAGAAAACAATACGCAGACGACAAGTTTTCAAATATTTTTGCGAGAAAAGAACAATCAAAGGCGCGATACGGCCAGGAAAATTTGAAGAAATATAATTGACGGCTGCAAGGGGACGTTTAAATTTTAAACATCCCTCGGCGTGAAAGCAGAAGCATTATTAGATCCGTGGCAAATCAAGCATTCTAAAATTTCAAAATTCCCAACGTGAGTTTACGCAACGATCGAATTAGGCTCAAATTGGAAATGCTTGATTGGATCAGGACAGAGGCGGGGCGGGGAGCGTATTTTGGCACATCCGGCAAGAGTCAGCTTCCGGGTTTTAATTCCAGCCTTGCCGGTACCGCGGTGCCGGGACCCCACGTGACACGTTGCGGTTGTTTTAATTGGGTTAGCGCGTCATACTTTACGTCTGCTGTTCGGGACGGAGTCCGCGGGCCTGCAAGATTCTCTGAGGCCGTGATGAAATGTAACGCGGGAGTAGTCACCCTTGGGCCGAGATTTTTGCTCCGTGTGCAAGAGCGTTTAAAATGTAATACGGTTAGCGACTATGACGTTGGGAATTATGAAAAGGGGGGAGAATCTATGAAGTTAAAGGGAGATAATTTGACTGGTTTTATCGGACAAAATTAGAGAGTTTTTGAGTAGTTCGGTGACCGGTCCAAAGTCATAAAGTCCGCTTTTGAAATCACGCAACGACTCTTATTTTTGTAAACAGTAAACATGATGGTGCTCTGTTAAAGATAATAAACTAAAAGGACAAGGGTTAGCCTAACACGCATCCGTCCTTGCTGAGGACGTCATTAACAAAACGTCTAGAACTTTCTGCCAAATCGACGAGCACATTAGTATGTTGTCAGAATCGCGTTTTTAGTAGTTTATGAGAATTTATTGAGTATGTTGTATTTGGTTCCGTAAAAAACAAAATCAGGACAAATTATCTCAGACAAATTATCACAGTATAAATGATCCCGAGGGAAAATTTTCTCAACAGCAGACGATCTCACGGACGAAAGATCTCAGGACAATTATCTCAGACAAAATATCTCACGGCATTGCAGTAATCATAATGATTTTAGTCGATTTGAACATTTTATAAATTCGAACATTTTATAAATTCATTGTCATATGGTTTTTATTTAGCTCCGAACTGAATAAAATATAAACCACAAACTCAGATATGCTTGAACGGTATTTTCAACTGGAAAAAACAACAACCGTTTGAGCAAAAAAAAAAAAAAACCGGTTCGAGAAAGACTTCAGCTAGCCACACCGCACGTAAATAACCGGTGCGAGAAAGTCTTACAGTAGCTAGACCGCAACAAGATGTAGACTTTCAATCGGCCGCTAGGTTCGAATGTAGCCGGGAGTTCGCAGCGCGCTCTGCTCAGGGTACCGAAGATGTGGCTTTTGGTTTAACATCCGTGACTTCTACCACTAGACCACGCACACTTTAATGATTTTGATAAAACATCGCTTTCTCGATAAATAAATATATATATATATATATATTTTTAAATTTGGCATAATATAGACTATAGAAAATAAAATAAAATGCTGAATTTTTTTTAAAATTTCTGTTTTAGCCGTACAAGAGGAACGAGGTCCTAGGAAAAACAAAGGCACGAAAAAAAATTCCGCAGCTCGGAGAAACATCCTGCTAGAGACTCCCTCCCTCCCCTCCTCCTCGGCGATGGCCTCCTTCCCCTCCCTGGACGTGCGCCCCTACCTGCCGCACCCCATGGCGGCTCCCCTAACCTGGGGCTCTTACCTCAGCGCCTTCAGGCCAGTGACGCCCCGCCAGCACAGCCTGTTACCATGGCAACCGACCGGAAGTTTTCCCAGCATACTGTTCGGCGACTTCAGCTCTGACGTCATCAAACTTCCGGCGAGTTCGCCAGAAATAACGCGTAAGTATGGTACACTTACAATATATTAGTTTCTATCCACCTCGTCATTGTTATGTTCATTAGGTTATATTAAATAATTTCTCGAAAATTGGGGGGGGGGGAGTGAATAACTACAGATCGCTAAGTAGTAATTTGTATAAAAGTATTATTTTTCAGTGACGCTCAAAATTCATTAAATGCTAAATAATAATTATTTTATTTATGTTGTTTTCAATTCTAGACTCGTACTTGTAAAGCGAAAAAAAAATTATAATCAATTTAAAAAATTCATGAGTCAAAAATTTACCGCAGACTCCGGCGAGATGACAAAAAATAACAAAACATGTCCTTGTTGAAATTATGCAAAAAATGCAGACCGTAATAGAATCTATATATAAAATTTAAAGTAGTGAGTTATGTACGGTAATGTGAATAGCGAGCTATGTCAAGACAACGAAGAGTGTGAAGAGGTTGTATGTGGTGTGAGCTCTGAGGAAGCTGACCATTCGATAAACCGTTCGATACAGCACAAAGTGACCCCCACTGGTGTAATCGATAACCTGATCCCACACTTTAGAGCCACGTGTCAAATTTGAATATTCAAATCTGCGACATGACTTGACCAGTCACCAGGTTGACCAGTCAGTCACCTTCTAAGTCAAATCCAACTCAAGACAATTGATTGGTTAGTGCGGCCTGCCGCCCACCCCCCCCCCCCCCCCCCCCCCCCAAGTTGATCCTTAGTTAAGCGAGTAAAAAACAAACAATCAATATTCACAACTTGTTTTTAAATATCGCGTATAAAAAAAAAAGTTGCTTTTTTTTTAACTTTTATTCTAGTTAAAGACAGCAAAAGTCTCTAAAAATCTATGTACACAAAACTGAGTGAAATTAATCTCATACGCATACGTTGATTGTGATTTAAAGATGATTGCGATTTAATCGATGATGTTCAGACATGTTTTGTGCCTTAGTTCCGAACTCATGATCTTCAGGTTAGCAAGCATGTGTTCTACCTCTAGACCACGCCGGCACTCGATAAAATACACCGACTATAAACACTTCTTTTCAAACCGATAAACCGATAAACCCGAATCAATTTCAAAACTGTTTCGTAGATAAATAGTCGGGTTTTTTTTGTCTTCTTACCTGTGTATTTAAAATTTTGATTCTAACCAAACGGTTAGAGAATAGGATGAAGTAGAGTTCACCTGTTTCTTAAACCTCGACCTATGAAGTGATTGTGTGGCCACCACTAGGCCTAGCCGTGTTTAATTGACCCCGGTCACTAGTCAGGTACCAGCCAAACCCCATGTGGACCTTATGGACGTTCTAGCTAGGGATTCGAACTCGCGAATCAAAATCCAGACTTTCGTTTTAGCAGCAGTGCGCCATACCAGTCGACCACGCTGTCGTATTATGATGTATGGTATGCCCGATAACCTGCTTCGACCTCCGTACTAACACAAACCGTAACACTAACACAAACATAACACAAACCACAACACCAGAAACCATAACACTAACACAAACCATAACACTAACACAAACATAACACAAACCACAACACCAGAAACCATAACACTAACACAAACCATAACACTAACACAAAAATAACACAAACCACAACACCAGAAACCATAACACTAACACAAACCATAACACTAACACAAACCATAACACGAACACAAACCATAACACTAACACAAACCATAACACTAACACAAACCATAACACTAACACAAACCATAACACTAACACAAACCATAACACTAACACAAACCATAACAATAACACTAACACAAACCATAACACTAACATCACATCAGACCGGAAGCTGGACGTTTGCCGGAAAAAAACACTTGCCCAAATGGACGTTTACCCAAAGGTCGTATTCCCGAATAGACAAATGTCCATTTGTCGCATTCGTGCAATGTCTATTCTGACATTTGTCGTATTCGGGAAAACATCGATTTGAGAAAATTGCCTTCGGGAAAATCGCATAAAGAGTCTTTGAGGCATTTGTTGTTAATCCACCCGCCGATGAGGGCCTAGCCCAAATCCTTGTCATAATCTTAACCAAAACCATAAGTCTAAATTCATGATATCGTTGGCGATACCATATTTCTATTACATGTCCATCAGAGTTTCCTCCAGGCATCTTTTCGGGGAGGGGGGGAGGGCTAAGCCCCCCAGAAAAAATTCTACCCCCCCCCCCCCCCGAACGAAATGAAATTTATATAATTTATATAGAAAATATATACTTTTAACAGTGTCCGCCCCCCCCTACCCCGAAGAAAGTCTACCGCCCCCCCCCCCGAAAATTTCAAGTGCCCCCCCCCCCCGGAGAAAAAAGTCTGAAAGAAACACTGATGTCCATTTCTAATCACTAAAGTCTATACTACTTAACAAAACTCCACCTTCTAACTAAATCTGTGAAAACTTTTCATTTTCTCGCTGACCCTCAGTCCCTTTTTGTCGAATCCACAGATATCTCCGACCCAAGCGACCCGGATGTGTTTTTTAAATCCACCCTACAACAAGTCCTGTACGCATCCCTCCGCCGGGCGCAGTACAACCACCTCTTCCGTCTGCTCCATCCGCACGATCAATTAGTCCTGCTAGAGCTACACTGGGCGGGGCTGTTCACCCTGACGGCGTCCTATTGGCCGGTTGACGTCTGCAAGCTAATCGATAAACAGAGGGAGAAGATTGGATCGAAGGTAATGATTGGGATTGGGAGGTGTCAGTGAGATGGGTGGGGAGAGATTGGAGAATTGGGTTGGGGGGAGGGGGGCGGAGCGAAAACATAAGAAAACATGGAGGATTTCTCAAGATAGCGATTTTTTTTTTAATTTAAGACGAAACAACAGTTTATCGAGAAGACAAGACCGCTGTCGCCGAGATAACTGCTCGGCTTAATTTGTTTGACGTCATTTTCATTTGTGGACAACACCTACATTTCGAAATCTGTTAAAGATAAATAAAACAAGCGCTCTACCAGGGTACAGAGTTTCTTCCAGGCATCTCTTCCGAAGAAAGTCTGCCGCCCTCCCGAACGAAATGGAATTTATATAGAAAATATATACTTTTAACAGTGTCCGCCCCCCCCCCCCCCCCCCAGGAAATTTTAGTCCGCCCTTCCCCCCCCCCCCCCCGATAAATTCAAGTGCCTCCCTCCTCCCCCGAGAAAAAAGTCTGGAAGAAACACTGCCCGGGTAGACGAGGCTTGATAGCAACCCATCTAGAGAAACAACTCCAAAATCAAACAACTGCTGCCTTGTAGTTTGTTCTTGGTTCGACAAAGGCTATAGAAACAAATCCAAAAAGAAAAGCAGGCTGAAATCGGAGTCAATGCCCTATATGGCGCATAACAAGTTGACACGTAATACTTAATTGTGTTGGAGGAAAATCTCGCCTAACATTACAATTAAAAACGAAGAAGAAAATGTTCGAAACGCACTTTATTCGACACACATTAATTTTAAAAAAAACTGCTAACATTGCTATTGTTTTTCTTTTAAAAATCATTTAAGTTTATGCAATTTAAAAAAAAAAAAGTTATTTTAAACTACCGTGTTTCCTCAGAAAGAGCCCGGATGTCTTACAGTGTCACGAGTTGAGGATGATTTACAGAGAGTTGTCTCCGCATGTCAGGCAGTTCAAGCCGATCTGACAGAGTTACCGTTCCTTGAAACCATCGCTCTCCTGCGCTGTGGTAGGTTTCAGTCGCTAGGTCTATACTGCTGTGGTAGGTATCAGTCGCTCGGTCTAAACTGCTGAGGCGTGTACATTTCTCAGTCGTAGGGTGCCAGACCAGCAGTGTTTCTTTCAGTCATTTTTTTCTTTGGGAGGGGGCGGACTAAACTTAAACTTAATTTCCGGGTTAGGGAAGGTGGGGGGGGGGGGGGGGGGGGGCGGACAGTAAAAGTTTATATTTTCTAATTTTCTATTTAGAATCTATTTCATTGGGGGTGGGGGGGGGGGGGGGGGAATGCACTTCCGAAGAGATGCCTATTGGGGTGACACCCTCATTTACCCCGCACTGGTATATATATATATATATATATATATATATATATATATATATATATATATATATATGGATAGATAGATAGATAGATAGATAGCTAGATAGATATCGGCCTACACTCACATACAAATACAACAAAATGGCACCGTAAGTTAGTTTAATGTAAGTGATGTCTGTCCACAGAGCAGAGAGATCGGACTCTGGAACCGAGACGTGTCGACCTCCTCCAAGACCAGGCTCAGCTGGCACTAGCCCACTACTGCAGCTACAGCCAGCACCACCCGCCCCGCCACCACAGCTCGCCCAACCACCACCACCACCCACTCCCCCTGGGCGGCTGCAGCTGTAGCACCCCCCACGGCCAGCCCAGCTCCAGGTTCGGGAAGCTGCTCCTCCTGCTCCCAGTGTTGTCTACGGTGTGTGGGGGAGAGCTTGAGCGGGATTTGTTCCCGGACCTGAACATCAAGCGGTTGATAAGGACCATGTTTACATAGTGGTGTTGGTCTGTGAACTTTGACCTATGTGAACCTTAACATACGGCTGATAAGGACGATGTTTACATAGCGGTGTTGGTCTGTGAACTTTGAACCTTAACCTATGTGAACCTTAACCTACGGCTGATAAGGACCATGTTTACATAGCGGTGTTGGTCTGTGAAATTTGAACCTTAATCTATGTGAAACTTAACCTATACCTAACTTAAAGTGAACATCAAGCGGCTGATAAGGACCATGTTTACATAGTGGTGTTGGTCTGTGAACTTTGAACCTTAACCTATGTGAACCTTAACCTACGGCTGATAAGGACCATGTTTACATAGCGGTGTTGGTCTGTGAACTTTGAACCTTAACCTATGTGAACGTTAACCTACGGCTGATAAGGACCATGTTTACATAGTGGTGTTGGTTTGTGAACTTTGAACCTTAACCTATGTGAACGTTAACCTACGGCTGATAAGGACCATGTTTACATAGTGGTGTTGGTTTGTGAACTTTGAACCTTAACCTATGTGAACGTTAATCTACGGCTTAGAAGGACCATGTTTACATAGTGGTGTTGGCTTGTGAACTTTGAACCTTAACCTATGTGAATTTTAACCTACGGCTTATAAGGACCATGTTTACATAGCGGTGTTGGTCTTTGAACCTTAACCTTTGTGAACCTTAACCTATACCTAATAAACTGACATCAAGCGAGTTCTATATAATGAACAATGTTTATATAGTTATGTTGGTCTGTGAACTTTGAACCTTAACCTATGTGAACCTAAATATATACCTGACATCGACGGTAAATCAAGTGGCTTATAAGGACCATATTATGTATCTGGATCATAATACGTTTGTTGTTGTCAGGGGTGTATCAAGCGGAGGGGGTGTATCAGCCATAGGTGTATCCACAATAGGTGTATCAACCATAGGTGTATTCCCCGGTTGGATGAATCAACAAGGCGGGCGTCACCAGGGGTGTATCAACCATAGATGTATCAATCGGAAGGGTGTATTAACAATACATATACCGATCAGGGGTTTATACACAAGGGTGTGTACAAACCAAGGGTGTATTAAGCATACAAGTATCGACCAGGGGTCTAACTGAGGATGAATTTAACACACCTTGTACAAACTAGCAAAACTGGGCCAACAAACAGTAGGTTAGATTCCCGAAGAGACAAATGAGCATACTTTAAAAAAAAAAATAACTTGATCAGTTGTACATGAAGCACAATCGGTCTGAATGTCGTGGATCCAATTTGAACTAACTACCTAAAACCGAGTAAGGTGGAGAAGTGTTGCTACCTACTTAGTATGATTGATCAAAATGTCCATCGGATTGGTGACGACTGGTAAAAAACTATGACCACAGATCCCATATATTTGTTTCACTATAATAGATGGATAATTTCTGGTTGATAGCTTTCACCTTGGTTAAAGAGGTCATAATATATCATGTCAGAATATTATTTTTTCGCTATTTATTGCATTTTGTTTACCTAAATGTCATTAACTTCATGTGATACTTATTGTAATTTTGATTCTTTATTTTTGCATTAACAATGGTCTAATTGTTGGTCAAATTTCTTATACATTACTGCCAGATATGATAAGCTTACTACGGGGGTGGGGGGATTTAACTAACAAAACTTAAAGCATGATGCACAATATTTTGAATTCTTAACATCATTTTAAGGTTACCTTACAAGCTACGGGGTCTCCTAAAAAGCACAGAATTTTAAAAATGTAAGACCAAGAAAGACTACTCATGATTTATATTCGTAATTAGTAGAGTACGGATTGCCTCCCTTGGTAAATCGTTTTAAAAAACAGGGTGCATTTTTTTTTTTACTTTTTCCTCTTGTGTTCTATTATGATTAAATATTTAATGCTTAAACAATCATCAAACAAATGTCAATCTATGTAAAAAAATAATGTAATATAAATTTTATAAAATCAACCAAAAATTTAAAATTTACTACACGAATAGCATTATTTGAATTTTTTTTTTTTAAAGCAAAATAATCCACAGGTAGGCTGTACTATATAATTGTATAAACACTACTATTTGTGATGTGTGGATAAGCATATATACGGTAAATAAATAAATTAATATGGATGTATAAACATATATGTGTGTATCAGAACATTATTTTTTCTTAACAAAATCTTGCCTCCACCACTGAGTCTTTGTACATTGTTTTGTATTTTGATAATTACATATAGTCCAAGTAATTTGTATAAACTATAATGAAATAAAAATGCTAATGTTGTTATTTTTTATTGAGTAAAACGTATTGGTATTTCAATTAAGAATTAATAATGTGAACGCAACTGTGTAAAACCAAATAATTTCTTTGAATGTTATTTTCTATATGTAATAAACCATGTGACCATAAGCATTGTTCTCTCAGTGGTCATTGTAGTAACGCCTCACAGTTTGTTATCTACACATTTTTTTGTTTTTAATTTTTTTTTTAATTGAAAAAAATAAATTTGAAACTTGGCCAACAAACACAACATTGTTAATTAAAAAAAAAATAGAGCTGGGTATCAAATTGTTGGTTTCTCACAAGACTTGGAGAATGTGAACAATAAGGAGTTCACTTTACTGTACTATACACACAGTTTGATAAAATCATCTTCAAGTTTATCACTGGGATCTGACATACCATCTCCTTTGGAAGATCCTATTCATTTCTACCTTTTTTTCTTTGCCTTTCTCATCTTCTCAGAATAACAAACCATATACATCTGTCCATGCTTTTCTGTTCTTTTTTCTTATTTCCATTTCTTTCCAAAAAATATCAATGTCTTTCCAATTTCTACATGCCTAGTGTTTTTAGACTTTTCTCTTTGATTTCTTTGATGCTAAACATATCAGACAAAAAACTCTATATGTTCCTGCCATGTCCTATGAAAAGAATGCTTAGCCAGAGAAGTGTAATTTTGCATTAGTTCTAGTAAAACTTCTACAGCTAATCCACATCATTTTAGGAAGGAATTATTTTTTCCTTTCCTTGTTTTTTAGCCACTCCCAACTAGTTAACCCATACAAATTTACTGACCAAAATTTGAATTCCCATTTTTGCATAACATTTTAAAAACAACCACTCAATTAAACAAAATATATTTAAATTAAAATTGTGAACCATAAAAATGAATGTTTACAGTAATCACAAATCATCTTTAATATCTCTATTTGTTTTCCTGAAATAAATTAGGTTGCAAATTAATTTCAGTGTTATGATAAAAAAAAATGTGTTGGTACTTTATTACATTTATTTAAAACATTCAAAATTTAGTTATCTAAAATACGAAAGGCTCAATAAACTTTTAAACACAGCATTAATCACTGAATATGGAGTACAAGTACTTCACTCAAGATAAGGTGAAAAAGTGTGTGCAGATCTTATATTTTGTGGGTGTAGAAAGGCCTTCTACAAGAATTTTTGTATTTTAAGAAATGATTATGCTGCATATTTGAGGGAACATTGGTAGGAGTGGCTGAGCACTTGATAGCTTGAGTCTTTTTTTATTCTGGGGGCAGCAAGATGTTTGAGTTCACTCAGTTCTGGTTAGTACCTGACTTATGACAACTGCTCCAGCCTAATTATTCATTCATGTCCATTAGAAATATGGGATGGAGTGGTATAGTGGTAGAGAGCTGGAATACTAACCCATAAGTCTCGAGTTCGAATCCGGGTTCAAGTCAGTAGACCGCCCCTGAGTCCACCCAACTCTGATGGGTACCTAACTCACGTTAGGGAAAGTAAAGGCGGCTGGGCATAGTGCTGACCACACTATCTCTTCATATGCAGAAGTCACAGAAACAAGTGAACTCTACTTCACTTGCCCCATAGACCGTTAGGTTTGAAAGGGAAACTTTACTTTACTTTACATTAGAAATAAAAGCATCTTGAACAGACCTAACTTTACCTGCCCTTTAGAATTTTAGGTTTTTGAAAATAAAACTTAGAACATTCTTAACTTAAAAAAAAAACTCTTTATGAAAAATGAAAAAAGAAAAAAACATAATCACAAAAATATTTCATTTAATTAACAAAAAAAAATTAATTAAATAAAAATTAAAGTTCAACAATAAAATGAACATAGAACTACTTGTTTTGTTTCACAGAAGCCTTTTCATATTCTCTGTCAAATGACGCCACCATCATACCATAGTAGGAAGGGTGATAATTGACCCGCAACTTTGGGTTCCAACTTTTTATATTTCCAGCCTGTTTAAAACAAACATGTTGGTTAAAGTATCTAAAGTTTGGACATGGAGCTAATCTTTTGAAAATATGATGACAGAGATTCTAAGACACATAGCCACAATAAGATACATGTAAAGTCAAGACTAAAATATAACCATTATCAAACAATTAATTATGTTAAAATAATTATCATCAAATTGCTCAGATGCATAATTAGATACATGTAAAATTCAAGTCCAAATATAACCATAATTACTTAGTTACACGCTAGCCACAAATGTAAATATACTTACACATGGGGCAGTGTGGTTTAGTGGTACAGTGCTAGACTACTAACCTGAAAGTCTAGAGTTCAAATCCGGGTTCAGGTCAGTAGAGCATACCTGAGTCCACCCAGCTCTAATGGGTACCTAACACACGTTAGGGAAAGTCAAGGGGCGGCTTGGCATAGTGCTGGCCACACTATCTCTTCATATGCTGAGGTCATAGAAACAGGAAAACTCTACTTCACTTGCTCCATGTACCATCAGGTTCAAAAAGGGAACTTTACCCATGTACAGTTTCTTATAAATAAAGGAAAGTGTAGAAAAGCAAAAAGTTATATATCAGTGAAAAATTGTCTGGTATTTGAACTGTGAAGGATGTGTGTAAATTTACTCAGCTCTTCTGAGTACCTGAGTTATTCAGGAAAAAGTAAAGGCAGATGGGCCTTTCTACTGGTCACACAATCCCCTTAAACACCATTGTGGAATACACACAAATTTACCTCCATTAACCCCTGCAACATGACCAGTCCAGTGAAGCCACAAGACATAGCTTTATCAACATAAGACAAGCTTTTACCTCCATTAACCCCTGCAACATGACCAGTCCAGTGAAGCCACAAGACATAGCTTTATCAACATAAGACAAGCTTTTACCTCCATTAACCCCTGCAACATGACCAGTCCAGTGAAGCCACAAGACATAGCTTTATCAACATAAGACAAGCTTTTACCTCCATTAACCCCTGCAACATGACCAGTCCAGTGAAGCCACAAGACATAGCTTTATCAACATAAGACGCAGCTTTAACCAACAAGTCTGAGGACTCCAAGGATGAGGCCCAGCTACCACAAGCCTGGCAGAAGATCAATTATATTTTTAGCACTGACCATAAATAGAATTACACAATAGCAAGTATGTTGTAGAAACATTCAGAACAAGAAAATTCATATAAAAATAATGGTAAAGCTACTCATTTCAATTATCTCATTGTTAATTGTTTAAAATATGATATGTCTGTAGTTTAAAAAAGAAACATTCATCGCTACAAATTATAATCATGTGAAAGTATGAGAAATCTTAAACTTTTACTGGAGTAAATAGACCTATATTTTTACTTTTTAATGCTACTGAAATAAAATAAAATTATGAACAAATTATGAACAAATATCATTATCATACAATTAATTTAAGTTAAAATTATTATCATGCCTCATCAAATGGTTCAGATGCATTAGAGTACCCGTAAGGTCCACTAGCATCGTGTGTATGGGCCAAATCAGCGCTAATAACAACAACTATTCTTTTTGAGGATGTTTCCAAAATTGAGTAGAGCGATGATCCTGAAAAAATGTGTCTAAAAAGTTAAAAGATAATTACATTATTATTATGTTTTATGTCTTACTTTAAGAGACAATGCATTATTTTAGAACCAAAAACCAAAATACCTTTTCATTGCCTTGTAACATAAATAAGAAAGTGCAGAAATATCTTTGAGTTTAATTGAGTTTGTTTTGAAAAAAATTGAGTAATTGCTGATACAGTACCTAGTTGAAGTAGTTCTGGAATCATATCAGTCACTTGTGTGTAGCGTCTGCTCGGCTGTGAGACAATAACAACTTTGGTGGCGTTGAGTCCAGGGATAAAGTGCAAGGGAATCACTTCACCCCATCTGTGGTGTAAGAATAATTATAAAAATGATATAAGAACAGAAAGTAAGACTTTGGTGATATCATAGGCATACAATAACTTTATATTTTGGTTCTTTGTAAGGAAAGGTATTTTAATTTGAGTCTTTATAGCCCAGTAGGTAATATAGTTAGTTCATTATATTAGTGAGGTGATAAGGGCAGGGGTGACCGGGATATTTAGCCATAATAAATAGAGTGTTGTGGCCTATTCTTCATTTGGTGAGTCTAATCTATAGCCTAAAGCCTAATTAGTAGAGTGTTGCACTGACCATTTGGTGAGTCCTGGCCTAATTAGTACAGCTTTGTACTGTCCAGTTGGTGAGTCTAGGGCTAATTAGTACAGTGTTGTAAGCTACTGATGATGGGGCCATTCAAAAGAATTGTGTTAATTTTCTGCAAATTCAACCTCTTCTTCTTCTAGTGTTGGAAGAGATTCTCTCCAACATAGTTAAGTATTACGTGTCAACTTGTTATGCACCATATATGCTGTTGACTTCAATTTCAGCCTGCTTTTCTTTTTGGATTTGCTTCCATAGCCTTTGTCCAACCAAGTACAGAAGTTGTTTGATTTTGGAGTTGCCATTCTCAAAAGAGTTGCTGTCCCCAGCTATCGAGTCTCAACTGCCTGGGTGTTCGAACTCTTCCTTTCAGCAGCCATGAGCATATCCGATCTTTTATTTTGTTTCCCTGATCAAGATGTGGATAAAAGAAAAACCTAATTTCATAAAATTGCACTAATTTTCTCTCAAAAAATCAAACTGTTTTATGGCTGAAGAAAAGGTAAATATATTTTCACTACCTAAGGGGAAATGGTGAGTCACTTTGTCCAGGGGGACCAAAAGCGCTAAGTCCAGACACATTTCTCTGATAACCTAAGACGTTCATAATTTCTTGCGATAAAGCAACATCAACACTAACAGATGCTGAATAGCAACAAGGTGGGCAGTTGCAGTTGTCTGTGTCGGCAAAACCATCTGCTGTAGGATTTAAATACAGAACAAAGTTTTTCAGGTCTGATATACCATGTGGTGTGCTCAAGAATACTGTGTCAGGCTCAAGTCTTGCTATTTCTTCGCCTACTTGTTTGCATGCATCATGGATTTTCCAAGCCATCGCTATCGCTGTTGAATTTGTAGAATTAAAGTGTGTTGGAGCAAGGGCAATACCTCCATGGGGCATTACAAAGTTAGCAATTATTTTGGTTTGTGCGATAGTTAGTACACTCCATAATGTAAGAATAACTGTATGTTTATAAAACATTTTTAAAAGGAGGATTTTCATGTATTTTTTTTAAATCCCTGATTTCAGTTTTTGACAGTTCCTTTTCTTTGTATTTCTTTTTTTACAGTATGATTTCCTTCCAGTGAATCTGAAATTCAGGAAAAAAAATTAAGATTTCAAAATCAACTTCTATTATTTATTAATGGTTATTGATAAGATAATTATTAGATCTAGGCCTAATTAATAATTATTTTTAATTATTCTTAAATTATTGGAATCTAGAAACTGTAGAAACATTCTTGTCAAAATATTTTAACATTATTAAAGATTAGGCCTAATCAACTTTAATTATGTTTGGGCTAAGCAAATAATAATAATAGACCTAGAAAAAAAATTTAAATTTTTTTTTAAAATATAATTTAATTTTGGACTTAATAACGATTAACGCAAAGTATAAAGTCCAAATATAAATTCATGTTTTAAGTTGGCCTTCTTGAACCAGAATCTAGATGATCTCTAGATTTAGATTTTAGAACTCTGTATTTAAAAAAAAATACAATGAGAATATAGATCTATATTATATAGACTATACATCTAAATAAGTCTAAAAAAATAAATCTAACATTTCTTAGATTTCTATAATTTGCACGCTGCTTTGAGGCTCCAAAATAATCTTTATTATTAGGCCTTGAATCTTGGCCTAATTTAATTTATTAACTTCACAGCTGTGCAGTTAAAAATAAAACCGGCAACAGTGCTCGCTAATGGTTGTGAAGGCTACCAAATTGGCAACCGTATAGATTCAGTAACTTAATTTAATACTGTAAGAACATAGGCTAATAAAACAAAGTAATCGAATTTTTTTTTAAAGAAGAAATGCATAGCGCCAAATTAATCAAATACTTTATTTTTATGTAGATCTAATCATGAATCTTAGGGAGTAGGTTTAGAAGTGAACATAGTTAGATCTAGATCTATATCGTTATGCGGGTGTCTGGGTTGTATGTCTACATTTGACACTATTTTATACTTACTTAAGCACCACCACTCCTCCTGAACGACATTTTTTTAAGTTAATAATTTATATAGAAAATGCTTTAACCAGCGGCACGGAAAGATGCCTGAAGGAAACACTACTTACACTTTTTGCAATATCATGGCATAGTAATATAAATAATGTGATTATATAGATCTAGGTTAAATTTAAAAAAAACGATTTTACAAAATATTTAAAAACGTTTTCTAAAGTATGTTAAATACCATAAAATAACATCGATTAAAATTATATTTAGAATACAAAGAGCTGCTACTATTCGTTAAGATTTAAACGATAATAATTAAGTTAACTTCTTTTTCTTTACATCATTCCTAGATCTAGTTTTAATTTAATACGTAAGTTTGGCAAGTTATAAATATTTTGATCTGGTCACTCTAAGTGTGTTCGTGACAATTGGCATGTCAGTACTAAACAAAGAGATCTAGATCTATCTATTCTAGAGTATATTTGATGAACATTACTTCTTTTCATCATAAGTACGATTGAACAAAATTAATTTTAGTTTTTGTACCTTTCTATAACCTACCGAAATAAATTAGTTATAAATAGAATGCCTGCTTGAAATATTTGTTTTTTGGAAACAATGTGTGATGTCTTCTTGCTGGGGCCTTCGGGACTTTCACTTTGGTTTTTTTTCATAGTGCTAAGCCAAATCACAAATAATTTTCACAAATATAAATTGGCAATTGGGCCCTAGAACTAGAATAGATCTAGATGATATATCAATAATTATTAATTATAAATCTAGTAGTAGGCCAAATTTTGTAGGCCTAGGCCTAATTGTTAGAATTTAAAAAAAAAAGTGTAGTGAACAGAGTGAAAGTTCACAATTTCAATTAGTCTAGTCTTGATCTAGATTCTAGATCTATTTCATTTTATCTTTCTAAAATTTATCTTCTCCAACATTTTTTAACATTGACTTCTCTTTCTTGGACAAATTTGACTAGCATGGTTGGTTAAGTTTAGTAACTTAGTTTTACTTATACGTAAAGCCATTCTAACACTCAGCCTTGAACTACACAATGTTTGTTACACACCTCAATTTAGATGTATATGCCTTACTACATTCCTACATTATTACATTAGCCAATGCTATTTTTCAAAAATCTTTTAGACAAACCTTGGTAGGTAGAGGTTTTCTGAGCCTGGTAGATTTTTTTACCAAGACCAATTATGCAATTAACCTATTCAAGCTACTTCTATAGCGGCAGTCTTAACACGCTAACTGAATATTGCTGATCAAGTTGAATCTCTTTATTTTAATGCGAAGGACTAGGCCTGTAAATAAATGGATCTCATCCGATCTATACTAGAATATTTTTTTAAAAAATACGATTTTTTGTGTGGAAGATATCTTATTAAACTCAACAATACTGAATAGCTTTCAGTCAAAAGGGGTCCAGTCACAGCTAAGCAATAGAATTTGAACAATATTAACATATGACTGAGAAGTACTTACATAGTTTTTATGGCTAAAAAAATTCAAATTATTGTTATAATGTGCTGTTGTTCAAGGTCATTGTCAATGATCTTTATTCAAATATATTTTTGTACTAAATAAAATAAAAAACATTGTTTTTGATAGACCTATTATTAATTACATTTACATATTTTACAATGATACATATTTTAATATTGATTCCTTATCTGTAAAAAAGTCTCAATAAACACAAGAAATCATAACAAAAAATAAGCCGGGAGTGATCTCCCCTAAACTTTCTTGAATATTCTTATATAATATAACACTACGGGGGTTGCAACTTGGAATACAGACATGATTTTTAATTACTTATACTTTTTAAAATAGAATAGAATCTTGTAGAAAAAAAGAATTGCGCACCAAGTGAATGCAAAATAAATGTGTATAATAGTGCGGAATATTATTAGTACTTAATAAATTCACATGCCTTTTTTGAGAAATCTGAAATAGCGTAAATTACTCAAAATTTGATAGAAGGCAGGAAAGTAGATCTTTTACTTATATGTGAAATTTCATTCATCTGTCTGAAACAGTACTCAAGTTATAGGCTTTTGAAAGTAGAATAAGTTCCACTTCCGGTTACCAGAAATAGCTGAAAAGTTGATACAGAACTACAAATTTGATATAATACTAATAGGCCTATATGAAATTTCATCAACCTAGGTGTAACCGTGTTTAAGTTATCATGTTTACAGTCACACATACATAAACACACACAGACATACTTAATACATTTTAATACTTTCTTTATACTTCGTATACGAGAAAGTAACAAGCTTTAGGCCTATTTACTTACAATACATTTTATTGGGTGGCAACCTGATTATTGTTTCTATTTTTCTAGATTGTCATCTATCATAAAATGAGTCAATGTTTTATTAGCTGAATTATTTGAGCCTTAAATTTAGTGTTTTTTTTTTAACATTGTAGTCATAATGGATGTACAATATACTTATAAATAAAATTGAAATCAGTCAACAGATGACATGACAGACCCAGTCAATCATATAAAAAACCAGGAGCTGTCTGATCCATCCCTGAATGGAACAACGGCTCATAAAGATTCTGTCAACGGGGTGGCATTAACAAAGAATGTGGATGGCATCAGCCGCAAAGACAGACGGAAAGACTGGTGGGAGAAGAAGAACAAAAAGGTGGATGAGAAGCCAGCGGATGCTGTAGCTGCCACCACTGAGGATGGACCTGAACAAACCCGACCCAAACTCCGTAAGCCAGCTTTCACATTTCATTTGCTTGATTGATCTGTATAGCTATGATAAAATTAATTTTTTAATATTCATTTTTATATTCTGAGAGAGAAATGTCTAGGTATTGGGCTACGGTTATTCTATGGCTAAAGAAGCTATTGCAATTTTCATGGATATCAGTTTAAAAAAAAAAGTAAAATAAATCTATAATTAACCACTAGAATTCAAATATACATTAAGCATTTTACAGTTTTTTGGGTGCTTTGGTTAGCTATAATTAGGAATGGCAGTTTGATATGTTAATCTAACACGTCTAGGTAAATAAAACTATTAAAGTGCTTCTAGGAAAGTGAAACTTGAGTTGAATTTATTATTGTCAAATGAATGTTATGCCAATTAAAATTTAGTTTTTATTTTAAATGAATTTATTCTCTTCCATCCAGGCAACAGGGACACCATTGCCAAACCAGACAGTTTGAAATATGAACCAGATTACCGTGGTTTCCACAGTAAAATCATGCAGAACCTCTACACCAATACATCGACTAAGAAAAAAAGAAAACAGACTGAAGCCTCAAAGAGAAAAGCCAATGCAGGTGCGGAACAGGATATAAAAAAACAGAAAACTGATGAGGGCAACGAGGCTCTGGACTTGTATAAATTTTCTTTAAATTTGATTAATGGTGATGTGGACACCTCCAAATCGGCAGCATCGAAAGACTCTAAGGATAAATATGTTCTTTTTATTGGCAATCTGCCGTATGATGTAACACGTGAGCAGTTGGAGGAGCACTTCAGGAAAACTGGTGAGTTTGTTAAGTTGCGAGTTGCAAGGGATGTCAGGACCTATAGATTAGGAACCCCTGGTCTAAATAAACTTTTCATGGATAAATACATAACAAAATATGAATAAATGAACCTTGGCCATGGCTCTGTAAGTAATAGCAAGCAATGAGCTGTTATTATATCCATTTTGTGGTATTCAGTTTGATGAAATAAAAAGACAATTCTCTATGCCAAGGCTAGTAGTTACAGAAATGTCTAGTGTGAGATATTATTCGATATTGTATTTTTGTATAATGAAGTGGTATCTGAAGTACGGTTAGAAACCGATCAAAATGTAATACGTAAAAAAAAATTCAGAAATAATAGCTGGGGATAGGCATAAGGCATTTGTAGGATTGTATTTATTTTCTACTTTGACCACACTTTTGTAATTGTTCTTAAATGGTGAGGAAGTCTGCACCATTCTGCCCATGGTTTGTTACCAAAATTGTTTTCCTGCCCATTGGATCGCAAATTAGAATCGTTGGCCAAGGTAGCTAAAATGGGAGCTCAGGTCAAGCAGGTTACTCTGAGGCCAATGTGCCACCACAAATTGAAAGTTGGGGTTTTATTTTCCCATCCTAGTTGCAAGCGTGCAGTGTCACCTCATGACCCTCTCCCTAAAACTTAGCTTCTTGTACCTTTCTGTGTTAATTTCTGTGTAAATTTTAAGCCTTGTCTTCTTTCTTATTTATTAGAATGAATTATTTTACTTTATTTTAAACTAGAACTAAGGGACATAACAATTATTTTTTTGTTTTTTCTGAAACATTGCTTCCCTTTGCCTGTACCTGTTAAAAATGACTTGTTTTTCCATTTAGGTGGGATAAAATCAATTCGCATTCCACGGGACAAAGCTACAGATAAGGGACGAGGATTTGCTTACATGGAATTTGATGGCAGAATAAGTCATGGGGTATGGATCTTTTTATTACCAAAGTGCATTGACTTTATTAATGCTAATTACTTAATCAGTAACTAAAGTAACTTCAAAATACTCTAGTTTGTGATAAGAAATTTTTTTCTGCAATTGAAAATGGAAATACCAAATATATGTAATTTTAAATCTTGATATAACCTAATTAATTTGCACTGTAAATCAGCTCCTTAAATTTTAATTATCCTACTTTTTTTTTTTTTTTTTTTCATCCGAAATAAAATAAAAGTGATCAGGTCCCTTGATTAGATTATTTATTTAACCTTTCTTGTATTGTGGTGCTGAATGATCTCTGTTGTGCTATTCATCTTGCCATGTGTACAAATTTTGTATTGTATTGTGTACAGATAGCACTGCGGCTACACCAGACCACTCTAGGAGGTAGAAAGATCAACGTAGAGTTCACATCCATTGGCGGGGGGAAGTCTGAGGCCAGGAAGGAGAAATTGCGCCAGAAGAACCACAAACGGAGAAACATGAAAATGCGCTGAGTTTTTTTGTACTGTTAGGACTGGACATTTTAGCTGACATTCTCTGGTACTTGTGATGAGACATACTTGTCAGTGTTTTACTGACATCAGTGATGGATCCAGTGTGTCGTCTATCTGGTACTGTCAGCCTCAGTATACCACGTCTTGGGGTTGGATTTAGGGTTTAAGTTTAGGATTAGCTTTAGTATAGAAATTATACCAGCATTATCATACTTTAAAGGTTACGATATAGCATACAGAACTGAAGTATATATTTTTCACTTTCTTTTAAAATTTTTAAAGACAATACTTATACTTGGTTTGTAAAAGCAAATCATTAGTTGATTGATAATAATTATTGTTTACTGTTTATCAAAACAGTTTTGGTTAGTTTACATGTATGTTTGTGTGCTGGGAGATAGGGTTGTAAAGTTGGTAGGCAAGGCAGAGAGTTGGTTAGGCAAACTTGGGAAGTTAATGGACACAGGTGTAAAGCTGGTAGGCAGGGCTGTATACTGAGTTGGTAGGCAGGGCTGTATACTGAGTTGGTACGCAAGACTGAGAAGTTAAATATACAGTGTTAGACTGGGATTTCTGTTTTGAGTCTGAAGCTTAAGGCAGAACCCGTATCATCAAAAGATGTATTTTTCTTCTCTAGCCCAACACCATAGACCTCGGTGTTACCTTTTTTGTGTCTAAATCTTGATATTTTAAAAACTTGATGTAGGATAATTGTAGATGGTAGTACATGGACTTTCTAGTTGTACAGTGGTCCCAGAGCTTTACTTTTAATACTTGACAGTCTTAAGGCACCAGTCTTGTGGGTTGTCTATGGTACCAGTGAGGCTAAGGTCGGAGGTCATGGGGGTGGTTGATTGAATGAGCTTGGTGTTAAAAATATAATGTCCATTTCCTGGTTGTGTACACATGTCCACTTCTTGATTTTGTGCACATGGACATTTCCTGATTGTGTATGCATGTCCACTACCTGGTCGTGTGAACATGTACATGTCCTAGTTGTGTACACGACATAATGATTGCCTGGTTGTGTCCACATGTCCATTACTTGATTTTGTGCACGTGTACATTGCCTGATTGTGTGAATGTGTACATTGCCTGCTTGTGTACGCATGTAATCTAAAAGGTCCCAACCCATCTTGACAGCTCAATAGAAATTTTTACCAAATGCAACTGTCTTCACATGGTTGTGTTCTTGTAATGTCTATCAACGTGTGTTTACATCAACTTATGTATATCAACACACGTCTATCAACACGTGTCCATTCCATCATTGTTTTTGTGTTCCACATGAAGGATTGAATGTGTACTTAGAGATACAATGTTTGGGAAAGATTGAATGTGTACTTATAGATAAAATGTTTGGGAATGAAGGATTGAATGTGTACTTACAGAGACCATGTTAGTGAAGGAAGAATTGAATGTGTACTTAGATGTTTGAGATCTCTGGTCAGATATTGCACTGGATCCCTTCCAGTGTGTCAGGCCATGAGTTCCCCCACCACATGATATTCTTGTTGTGGTTTAGTCAGTTTTAGGACCAAGAGAGACATCTTCAGGAGTTTTAGAATTTTGGATTTAATATTTTTTTTATTCATGTCATAGAAATGTGAACATTTTACTATCCTTTATTCATTGTTCATGTTGTGTAATGGAATGAGGTATGCTGCTGGTACAATAGTTAATACTGTAAGTACAGTGTACTGCTGGTACTATGGTTTCTACTTCTGGTACAATTATTTGTACTTAAAGTACAATGGTGTGTTCTGCAGGTACAATAGTTTGTACTAGAAGTACTTTGTAGTACTAGTACAACAGTTTGTATTGCTGGTACAATAGTTTTACTTCTATAAGTTAATTGTTACTGCTGGTACAATTGTAATGGAAGTACTTTGTACTACTGGTACAATAGTTTGTACTACTGGTACAATAGTTTGTACTGCAGGTACAATAGTTTGTACTGCAGGTACAATAGTTACTACTGCAGGTACAATAGTTTGTACCACCCAGTTGGATGGCTCCAGTGAAATGACACCAGATGTCATGTAGGTTACATGTTGTTCATTGTTCAGTCACCTGACCTGAGATGTCACATGACTGCCATATTGTCTCCCCCCTGTGTTCCCTCCCCTGCTGTTTCTAGTAGTGTCCTCTCCCATCACTGGGCATACTAATTGTAAAATAAATGTCTAGTGAATTTAAATTGGTTTGTTTAGTTCCTTCTTGCAATTTTAAAAAATCAAATGTCATTTTCTATATATATGGTTCTATATTATGCTCTAAGTTTACATTTGGCATGTTTAATTTTTGTACAGTTGGAATAATTTATTGTCGGCCCAATAAAAAAAATCAACCATACTATAGACTTTTTTTAAAAAAATGTATGGTCTTTATATATCTCATGGTTTCTATTAATATGTAAGTAAGTTTCCCTTTTAAACCTGACGGTCTATGGGGCAAGTGAAGTTGAGTTCACTTATTTCTGTGACCTGGCATATGAAGAGATAGTGTGGTCAGCATTAATATGTAGCAAAAATAAAACTAAAGTAAAATAATATTTAGCTTTTAAGATCATTGAAATTAAGAAAAAATACTTAAAAAAAACTTTTTAAAAAACCACGTTTTTCTTGTGGACTAAAAAGTAGAAAATAAATTTTCATACATTTGATGACAAAAAACGTGGGTACGTTCACCATCAAATTTCCCGACCCATCTGCCCGACCCACGTTTTTTGTCATCAAATGTATGAAAATTTATTTTCTACTTTTTAGTCCACAAGAAAAACGTGGTTTTTTAAAAAGTTTTTTTTAAGTATTTTATTTTCTCCTTTTTAGTCCGTTGCTACACATGAAAAACGTGGTTTTTAAAAAAAGTTTTTTATATAGTTTATTTTCTACTTTATCCAATGACTTGACTAAGTGTTTATAAATACACGGACTAAAAATCTTGAGCGACCAGGATTCGAACCTGGGTTGTCGCGGCCACAACGCGAAGTACTAACCACTATACGATCACGGCCAGCGCGCTCACATCGATTGGGGCCGAAGTAAATGTGCCAATAGGCCTCCAGTCTTGTCGGTATCTTTAGAAATCATGTCCTCAATTTTATGGTCCTTGGGGCGTAATTAAATTAAGCTAATTACGGTCTCTAATTGCTAGTTTTTATGATTGCATCTGAAATTGTTAGGCGAAAGTAGCCTACATGCCAAATTTCAGATCTATTGAGCAATCAGAAGTGGGCTAATTTTCGATGTCAATTTTAACAACAAACAAACAAATCCACAAACGCGAAGCTGAGTTAAGAAAAACGTGTTAAAAATAAAACAAAACTTGATTACTTGAATAAAAGTGTTGGTCACTGAAATATGTGTGAGATATAAGTGACCAAATCCTTTTATTAAAGAAAGCAAGTTTTTTCTTATTTTAGTGTGTTTAAAATTAATATTTTAATAAAAGGTATTTTATATTTGTTCTATTTTCTAATTGATAGTCATTTATTTTTAATGAATAAAGCACACATGACTAAAAACGTTTGATCTAAAACCCAATCAGGAGCTAGGATATGTAAAAGATAATTACCTGACACTTCTTAGTTTAGTCCATGGTCTACCCAGACGAGAAATCCAACCGTGACCAAAGAGATCACAGCAGGCGTAGAACTGACTAATATTTCTAGTATTCAATCTTATCTCCAATTTTTTAAATTGAATTTGGAAATTTTAATGACTAAACAAATCTCAAATTATATTTTAAAAATTTTATTCTTGCATTGTCATTGGAGATGATTTTATCTGGAAAGTTTGAATGAAATTGCTACATTAGAACTGGGTTAAAATACAACAAGGCTTGCCACAATTCACAGACATAGAATATTTGTTTTTATAGTTTCAATTATAATAATATACCCATATGCGGCCCCATGTGTCCATGGCATAGATAGGAAAAGATGATATACTGGTATGTGACTGAGTGGTAATGGATACACAGGTAGGCCCACAAATCTGTCTTAAGTGACACATGGTAAGGACCTAGTGTACAGGGTATGTGGTTGAGTTGTAGTGAGTGACACTTCTAACCCAAAGTATTGAGTTCCAAGTCTACTTTGTTCTAGCTGCTAGCCCACGGCTGAGTACATGTTCCCTCTTGAGATGAGGGTCACAGAAAGAGAAAGCATGCCTCAACTGCACGTTGTGAGTTCCAGGCCAATAGAGAAACGAGATTGTTTTACTTCAGACTTTATTGTTTTCTTTTTTTACTTCAGACTTTTAATTTTATTAACGTGTTTTCTTTTTTACTTCAGACTTTCATTAGCGTGTTGTCTTTTTTACTCCAGACTTTTTCATTAGCGTTTTTTTTTTTAAATTCAGACTTTCATTTGCGTGTTTTCTTTTTTACTTCAGACTATCATTAGCGTGTTTTCTTTTTTACTTCAGACTTTTGTTTTACTTCAAACCTTCATTAGCGTTTTATTTTATTTTTTTAAAAAATTCAAGCTTTCATTAGCATCTGGATTCATCAAATCCTAATCATGTCAAGTCTGCTGTGGTGTCACCGACAGCCCCCCCCCCCCCCCTTACACCCCGCCCAAAACGGAAAACCGAAATGCACACATCTCTCTGCTCAAGCTAACACTGCTCGCGTGCCCTTGTAAATCCGCCACGGATAAGCTCCACGGTCACGTGACCGTAATGATGTATGCATACATTATGTTTAGTTGGGCAGGGGCGTTAAGGCAAACAAAAGGCGCGAGAGGTTAATGACATCAAACAACCAACCAATCAGCACGTCCCACTACTTCTCACGTAACCCTTGATCCTCTACTTTCTTAGTTTACACACTTTTTTTTTCTAACTGCGGCTTCCTTAAAAAGTGAAAACAAAATTCTTGACGCTTCCTCATTGCTATAAAAATCTAAAGAATATATATATATATATATATATATATATATATATATATATATATATATATATATATATATATATATATATATATATATATATATTCTTTTATATTCTGTGTTTTTGTGTGATCAGTTAAAGAAATTGCATATATATGTATTTTATCAAATTTGTATTTTTCTATGAACTTTCGAGCGAATTCCGATAACCGGAAGTGGTACTTACTCTACTTCAAGTTTCCTAAAAACCGATAACTTGAGCGCTATTTTAGGTGAAGTAGTAAATTTTTTCCCCCATGGGTACACCTAAATTAAATACCGTTTCAGTTTTTATATAAATATAAGATGCAAATATACTTGGATTACTTACAACGAATTAGTGACCTACGATATCCGGAAGTGTTCTAAAGCAACGATAACGTGAGTATTGTTTCTTTTCGGTGGAAGAAATTTCATAAGATCCTATTTTCTTTATTCTTTCAAATTTTGGTTGATTTCCGGTGACCGGGAGTAGTACTTCACGCTTTTTCCAATTTCTCATAAAACAAGAATTTGATAATTTTTATATGGGCGTTTTTCTTTTTCCATGCGAATCTATTCTAGATGTAAAGTTCCTTTTTTCAAACCTGAAGGTCTATTGGGCAAGTGAAGTAGAGTTCACTTGTTTCTGTGACATCGGCATGAAGAGATAGTGTGGTCAGCACTATGCAGTGTTTCTTCCAGACTTTTTTCTCCGGGGGGGGGGGGGGGCACTTGAAATTTTCGGGGGGGGGGGGGGGGGCGTGGGCGGACACTATATATATTTTCTATATAAATTATATAAATTTCATTTCGTTCGGGGGGGGGGGGGGGGGGAATTTTTTTCGAAGAGATGCCTGGAAGAAACTCTGGCACTATGCCCAGTCGCTTTTACTTTCCCTATTAGGCACCCATCAGAGTTGGGTGGACTACTAATTTGAATCCGGATTCGAACTCGAGACTATATTTCGAACTCGAGACTATATTTTGAACCCGGATTCGAACTCGAGACTAACGGGTTAGCAGTACAGCTCTCTACCGCTAGACCACTCCGTCCCACATTCAAAATGTAGAGAGGAAAATTACTGTTTGTAACGAGGTGTTTAGTTTTATTTCTCTAAATCCTTCATAACTTAATAATTTGATATCAAATTCTCATAAAGTATATTCAAAGAAATTTTCACTTCTAGATCTATATGTTTTCTCAAAGCAGAAAAAGCTGGGTTTTTTTTTTTTGCCGCTTGCCCCTGAAAGCTTATGAGGTCACTCCCGCTTTATTTTCCTTTAAAAGTAGGAGGGGTGACCAAGAGAACTCACCAGCCCCATTACATTTCATACTTTTTTAAAGTAATATTATGCTTTGTGAGTTTGAATCTGAAGACAAATATTGAAAAATAAAACAAAGCCAAAATAGTGTCGAAATGCAATGGTTTGAAAACAGGTCATTACATAGTTTATTGGCATATTTTATTACAGAAATAAATACAAATAAAAACATGGAATTCAAAATGATAGAAACAAAAAAAAATGCTATTACATTTGTAATACGAGATACAAATTTGTATACGTTTTGATTGCCCTGGGATATTACAGATCATGAGGACATTTAAGTGAAGTGTTTTTTAACATTTTATAAGTTTTACAGTGAAAATAAATGCAAACATGCACCTATATCCAGCCTTTCCATAAAATATTTTAAAATAATGACGAATTTTTAAACTCTCAAAAAAAAAAAGACACAACCACTTGTGTTTCGACATTAGGGCGTCGTCAGAATTTCGCCTCGCTTTAGCTTTGAAAAGAATAACTCTTTAACATTTTTTTGGACTTATTCTGACGAAGACCTATGGCCGAAGTACCGTTTGTTGTGTTTATTTTGAGAGCTTACTTTGCTATTATTGTGATTAAATTGTTATACAATGGATAATACATTCAGAGATTAAATTCAAGGTATTTATGCAGTTAAATTTACAATATGAGCTTTGAATCGAATGTTTGAAACTGGAGTTTGTAGGATTACGTTTTTCCACTCAGCGTAAATGAGTACCTGGCTCCAGTATGCTGAACATTCTACAACGCCTACTTTTAACATAATAAAATGCGAACTCTGCTTCATCTACACTATTCTTCAAATCGTGCCAGTGTTAGATGTGGCAAAACACTTTATTTAACGACAGCAGAGCATTGGTTCGTATTTAGTTACAGACGAACTCTGCTGCACCTACACTGTATTATTCTTGAAATTGTGCTAGCGTAAGATGCGGCAAAACACTTAATTTAACGACAGCAGAGCATTGGTTGGTGTTTGCAATAAATAACATTTAAAACAAGACCCAGCTACACAGAAATAAATGACTAGATGGGACGAGAGTAAAACGTTTGATTCTTTAAAATTAAACGAAACAAATAATTCAAACTTCTGTGTACATCGGCCTTTGAATTAGAACAATAGATCTTTGCATCCGTGGCGTAGCTTGGGGGGTGGGCGCCTGTTATTTTCTCACTAAATAAATATATTCTTAGGTGTATGTGAATGGAGGGGGGGTGGTTGAATGTCAGCCCGTTTAAATAGCCCGAATATGGTCCGTAATTAAGATAATTAAAATTATCATTTTTATCTTTTTTCGGGGGGGGGGGGGGTGGAGGGGGGTGTTGAGGAAATAGAATTTATATGCAAAATATATACTTCTAGCAAGTGTCCACCTATCCCCGTCCCCCGAAAGTTTCAAGGCCGGCCTCCCCCCCCCCCCCCCCCGAAAGAAACACTGCATGTACGTCAACCTTTGAATCAAATCAATAATAGATCTTAAGAATCAATAAATTAGCATGGGGGGGGGCGCCATTTTTTTCTCCGATAAACAAATACATACTTTGGTGTTTGTATGTGTATAGGGAAGGGGGAGGGGTGAGTCTGACCTGTTAATAGTTTGTGCAGTAATAAGCGGCCGCTAAATTTTAAAATTTGCCGCGGGTACCCAAAGTTGCAGATACGCCAGTGTTAAATTTGTTTTTTAAATTCAATCAGAAAAATTACTGTTATGTCAATTTATAAATAGGATAAACAGGATATCGGTAAAAAATGTCTTCAAGTTTTTCATTTTGATGCCAACTTATGACATTGAATTTTGGTGAATCAGCAGTGGCTGAGGCTATTTCCGAACGCGAGGCTCTAGACTAGGGTAGTCCACGCCAAAAGATTTCAGCGAAGGTCGCCCAAAGTCAGCCAAAGAAAAATTGACAAAAAAGAAAAAAAAAACAACAAAGCAGACCAACGGGCAATACAAATGGCAAGACGAGATTTGTCAGACGAAAAATCCGATTTGTTCGTGACCCAGACCCGAGGTCGGGCAGGTGTCGTATTTCAAGGTGAATGTCAAGGTCAAATCTATATTGGAGTCGTTGTTGCTGTTGGCCTTTGAGGAGGAAATGTTTAGTTTAGGGTTAGAATCCGCGAAGTGCACGGTTTTTTCTGTTTGGTTTTTCCCCGGGTTGTGTTTTTGGTGGGGTGAGGTTGGCGGGGGGACGGATCGAAGTCTGGTTTGGCTGTCTCTGACGGGGGGCGCGGGTGGCGGTGGGGAGTTCCGAACCTGCTCCGTTGAAACACACTGATGGCGAATGTCGAGTGGTGAAGAGTTTTTGAGGTGAGGTTTCGCGTTTCTTGCGAGGGCGTCCGAGGATTCAAGCCCTCGCCGATTTTCGTTCGATACACGATTAGTTAATCCGCTGGGGCTTTGAGTTCTAGAGCTTATATTGGGATTAGAGATAATCCGATGGTTGTGTTGGTAGGGGGGAGGATTAGCTGTATCACGTGGAGGTAATGTTGATGGGTGTTTTGAACGGGTTTTCCCGAACACTACTGCAGGCTCGGATGTTGTAGATGTTGAAATCCCTGAGGGGATGTTGCTTTATGCGGGTTGGGCTTAACGTCCCCGTTGAGTTTAGGCTTAGGGTAAACCGGAGGCGGGCGATTTAACGCCGGCGTCGCTGGTTTGTTATCCAGGTAACATATTTGAACAGGTTGGATTACGGTTTGGGTATTGTCTCTCTTGAGCCCGTTCGAGGACGCGCTGGGGGTTTGCGTTGGTGATGACGTCACCACGCGCTTGACGTCACCGATGACGCGAATCTCGTCTCGGTCTCCGCGTCGCTTTCGATGCCGGAGGAGTTGAGGCTGAGGGCGTCGTCGCTGAACGCCTCCACGTCTTCGTTGAAGCGGACTTTTAAAGTCACGTGACGCGGACGGCCGTTCCGGTTGAGGCAGGAACGGAGGCTGTCCTCCTCCCCGAAGGAGGAATCCTCCGACATCTGCTGCATCTGGATCCCGCTCTCCTCCGATGTGTTGGTCAAGGTCAAGCTCTCCTCGTCGTCTTCCGGTTTGGTGAACATGCGCCGGGACGGCGAGGGGAGGTCGAGGTCACCGTTCTGCGAAGGAAAAAACGCCGTTCTCGAAAATGGGCGTGCTGCAGCGAATTAACTGCGTCGTGGAGGAGGAAGATTTTGAAAAGCTCGGAATGTTTCTGGTTTCCGTTGGCGAAGTCAAAGAATGGAAATCGGAATCCTCCGAGATCTGACCGGCGTTGAGGAGATCGTCTGCCTGGAGGATGGTCAGTCCAGGGTTTTTCTGAGCGGTCCTGGACGCCGGTCTGTCGTCTGCTCCGAATCTGTCGTCTGCCGCGCGGACCACGTCGAGAACGATGACGTTCCCGTCGTGGTCGCTCGTCTGCCACTTGACGTCGCTCACCGGCCGGCAGACGCCGGGTAACAGCGGCACCAGCCGGCCGACGTCCTTGACCTTGATTTGAATGTACACACTGTCCAAGGTCACGATATCCTGATCGTTTGTTTGTTTTTTAAGCGCGAACTGGACGTCGTAATTTTCATTGGCGTACACCGTGAATAAACAAAAGTCGTCTCGGAGCAAATCGGGTTCGATCCCGAACACAAGTTTATAAAAGTTGACCTGGTCCGCCCATGATGCGCGGTACGTGTACAGCACATACCGGATGTGCTGACGGCCATAATGGACGTGACGTAACGCCCAGAGTGGTAGATCCGGGGATGTGTAGTAGTATTCCTGGGCGTTGTCCGGAAGTGCGTTAATTTTCCCAGCGTGCATCTTCTCATCATGGTGAAACCTCCAAGGTCGACGCTTCAGCAACTGCCTGGCCTCGCTGATAACATCCCTGCTTCTCGTACCGTGGGTCTCGGGTTCGGATCCGCGTAAGAAAACCCATAACAGCCAGCGCGGGGGTGGTGGAGGTGGAGGTGAGATTAGGTTTGTATCTCGGGGCCGATCTTTCCGTGACCCGGAAGAGATGAAGGTGGGGGTCGACGTAGCTGATGATGGGCTGGTAGAGGTCCGCTAGAGGGCAGACCTCGTGAGGGTCGGCGATGATGTGGAGCGTGATGCGACAGGGGTCAAGGTTGAAGGCCAGGGACCCCGACTTGGGGTCGCTTTTGTGACCGTTGATTCCTAGTTCAGTTCTCATGGTGTGGTGACTCACTGAAATAAAATGTTAAAATATCATTAGAATTGTAAAATAAATTGGTGTGAATTAAAAAAAAATTAAGACTTGTACCCTGTTTGGGGGAATCTATTTATTAATTAAATTAATTAAGAGTGATCGAGTCGGTTAAGTTTATCGTTGCTGAACCGAAAAGTCCCGAGTTCGAACCCCGGGACACAGTGACGTAGCCAGGTTCGTCTCAAGGGGGGGGGGGGGGGGTCAAATTTTTACCCGGGGACAAACTTTCGATTCGCAGCGCCCCCCTCAAACTTTCGATTTGCACCCCCCCCCCCCCTCAAACTTTCGATTTGCACCCCCCCCCCTCAAACTTTCGATTTGCACCCCCCCCCTCAAACTTTCGATTTGCACCCCCCCTCAAACTTTCGATTTGCAACCCCCCCTCATACTTTTTTCTATATACCGAGGGGTCTAGGGGGGGGGGGGTTATGACCCCCCCCCCCTAACCCCCCCCCCCCCTGCCTACGCCACTGCCGGGACAGATGTGGCTCGATAGCCGGGGACAGCAGCCCATTTAGGAGAGACAACTCCAAAATCAAACAACTGCTGCCTTGTTGTTTTTTCTTGGATGGACAAAGGCTATGGAAATTAATCGAAAAGAAAATCAGGCTGAAATCGGAGTCAACGATCTATATCGCGCAATACTAGTTGAAACGTATACTTAATTGTGTTGGAAGGAATCTCTTCCAATACTAAAATTAAGAACGAAAACGAAGAATAGTTAATTAGTTTTCGCTGCCATAGCATAATAATTAAAAGCAAAGCTACTATTATTCTATACCAGGGGTCGGCAACCTGCGGCTCGCGAGCCGCATGCGGCTCTTTTGATGTCAAGATGTGGCTCCTCAGCTCCATGCACAATATTAATAATTATTTTATTTTCGAAATTAAAACTATTGTTCTACAACATTCGGTGATGAATGATATAATAATAAATATAAACAGTAAACACTCGCTATTATATTAGAATATTTATTTACTCCCTATTTCAATGTGCTTTCTATTATATATATATATATATATATATATATATATATATATATATATATATATATATATATATATATATATATATATATATATATATATAATCCAAATAAAATATCATAATATTGAAATAAAAAAAATGTGTGTTGCTCTTTAAAACTGGGAAATTTTGTAAATTGTAACTTTTGGCTCTTCCGTCTCAAAAGATTGCCGACCCCTGTTCTATACGAATCAGGCTGTGCTCAATTATTTGTCAACTCACCAATTGAAGACTCGAACCGTATACCAGGGTGGTAATAATGTGCGCTACCATTCGACCACACGCTCCCACCTAGCACCGTATATTACAGGCAGTTAACCATAAACATAGAGAATTATGACCATGATACGTTTAAAGGTGCCGTTATCTTTCAATCATAATGCACAATTTAAATTATACACATATGTCGGACATATCGAATTGTCAGAGTTCTAAAATTTGTTACAAAACTTTTGCCAAACTCGACTTGCTTGTTCTACATATTATTATGTTATCTTGTCTCTTGGTACAATACAGTAGAAACAATACATTCCTAGCTATTTAGTAAATAATAATTTCACTGTCTTATTTCATTGTTAGTCTAAAGCAGTGGTTCTTAACCTGGGTTCGATCGAACCCCAAGGGCTCGGTGAGTCACACTCAAGGGTTCGGCGAACGTCAAGACACACCCGTCTCATATGATTCACGATCAGATTTTCAGTTTGGACGATGGGACTATCAATAAGGGTTCGGTGAATGCGCATATAAACCGGGTGGGGTTCAGTACCTTCAAAAATGCTAAGATTCACTGGTCTAGACTAGACTAGAGTATTTTTAAAACAAACTCAATATAATATAGACCGCATTTGTAACTTGTTTACAATGAAATAAAATACCTAGTATAACTTTTTTCTATGTATTGTGTCTTAAAAACGAAAGTGTTTTATTTATGTAAGAAGTTTATTTAATAATTAAGAGTACATTTTTACACAATCAACATAGCCTTAAAATGAATGGCTATTTTAACCTCGAGCATAAAGTAAGTTTAAATTTGAACACAATCTCAATTAAAATCACGTAATCTCCGCCTATGTTCCACAAAATGTAAATGTGAGTTGTCGCCCCTGAGGCCTAGCCTCGCATCATTTGCATTGCAATGTGAGGGTATCTTAAAATATTTAGAAATGTTAATCCAGACACTATCTCTTAAATGCTGGAATGTTGTGTGGCTCTTTTTTAGTGAACTGTTCATGTTATATATAGTTAGGTGGAAACAAATTGTGAAAGTATTATTATGTGTTACACACACACACACACACACACACATATACATACATATATATATATATATATATATATATATATATATATATATATATATATATATATATATATATATGCGTTTGTGTGTGGAGGGGGAAGTATGGGTGTATATACAGTCAGGTAAATAGGCCTACGAAATAGATATTATTAAAAAAAAACTTGACAGTCATTATCATCAATTTTCGTTGATGAGAAAATGTAATTAATTAAGCAAACACATGTCATAGAGGTGGGGATGAACATGAGAAGACAACATAACAGGGAAATAACTCTGAGATGCACGATGACAGCAGAGAATCGGACAACGACTGCACTTAAATCTCACCCACCCCCTCCCCCCAACACCTCCTACCCATGTCTGGTTTGAGTAATCTAATTCTAGCCACTAGAAAAAAATCTGAGGTTGATGTTTTTTATTTTACATCTAAAACAATACGTATATATCCACATAAAAAATAATCGTGTTTAAAAAATTAACACTTGAACAACCGAATCTTCTCACGAAAAAAAAAATTAACACAAAAAAAAAACCTACGAAATTTCATCTGTCGGCTAAGATTCTGTAATTAAACACCAACATCGTGATTCTAACAAAATAAAGTGCCATTTAACTAACTTAAAAATCTTCAACTAACCTTTACATTTTGCCTTAGCTTAAAATAAAAAAAAATACAACTGTAGATAGGCATATATATATATATATATATATATATATATATATATATATATATATATATATATATATATATATATATATATATATATATGTGTGTGTGTGTGTGTGTGTGTATGTGTGTGTGTTAAAGATTTAGATCTATATGGACTGTAAAACCTAGTCCATTTTCTTCTAACCAACTACCAGTACCATACAATAAACTTTAAAATAAGTAAACAAGTATATATTGTTTTAACTGTTACATTGTAATCAAGACAAAGTCAAAGTAAACTCAAAACTACCCATGAAAAAGAGACTTTAAGTTGTATTTCAAAAATAATTAATTTAAAAAAAAATAAACTTTTCAGTTCGTACAGGAAATTATTAAACTTACCCTAATATAAGTGAATAAACAAATTAAATTCCTCCATAGCAAAAATATTAAATCCTCGGCTGCTAATTGCGCTAAAATCTGGCCAGTACATGCCAGATGTAAAACGGAATGGCGCGAAATCTGGCGAACACTTTCCTACACCACCCAAACAAACCTGTCGCGTGTCAGTGGTTCTCAAAGTTTAGGCCCTCGGGGCAGGTCCTGGTGAGCGTGTCAACAACGTGTAGTGTGAACTGTGTAGATACCGTCGTGTAACCTTGACATTCGGGACTTAAGCGCGTTGGAAGGGGGGGGGGGGGGGGTTGGAGAATGGGTGGATAATATACAGTTCAGGACGTCACAAATTAAGAACCGATGTCCATAGGTAACTCGGTCAAAGTGTCGTGTGCAAAAACGGTCAGACTAGGGTTTGTTTATTTGAGACCAACACGGCAGACGACAGAGACAGTCACAGACTTGTACGTCTGCTGGTGGCCCTCAACTAGCAGACGACAGCTAAACCTTGATCTATCCATTAATTCTCATTTCACAATATGAATAATTAACCTTGATTGAAGGTATTGTGATTAGTCATTTATTGTTCAAAGAATCGATTCTGGTATAACTATTTGATACTAGAGGGAGGCGGTTTCTAAAATGGAACATTGATGCGGAGTTAATTAGTGACGGGCTAAATTTCTCCCCGAGCTATCTTCCACCCCCCCCCCCCCCCCCCAATCTGCACTACCCTTAGTTACGCCACTACTAACGTGTACCAACACCATTAGAAACAGTAATAAAGAGAGGTCATTTTAATTACTTCACATTTTAAATATCACATGATTCATACATGATCACCGTAAGGGCGGTACCGATTACAATATAGTATCGATGTTTATTATCTCCAAGTATGGCTGTTAGGGTAAGGGTGTAATATTTGTTTAAGGTCAGATCTAGGGAGAGGATTTGGACCAACTTTGGGTTATGTTCATGGATAGTGAGTGATATCGGTAAATGTATATTTTCGATACGTACATACTAGATGTATTAAATTAATACAAGGGGGGGGGGGGGGGATAAACAAATATTAGCTGCAGCTTTATAAATACTTCTAAAATTAAAAGTGGGTTGTGTCTATAAATGACGTCACACACTAAGAGGCTGGGGCGGTCTTGACTTTTGTCCCGAGTGTGAGCGGGGCGGGATGGGTGGTGGTGGGCGTAGAATATTTCATAAGATTGAACGAGAAAAAAAATGATGAAACATTGGTTGTTATGGCTATTCTAGGGGTGGGGTGGGAGGAGTTTGATGGCATGACGTCATTTTAAGTGTATGGGGAGATGATGGGAGGGGGGTAGTCTTTGTTTTAGAAGAGCAAAGCAATGTTCAGGGGTAATCATCACACATTACATGACCCCATGAATTGAAAACCCCTTACAAAACATATTCACAGACATAAACATACAAACGATGTCCATAAACATACAAATGGTACACACATCCACAAGAAAACGACATGCGTTTACATACAATGATGCACTTAACCAAACACATAATACACATACACAAAATACACACCGATCAAAGCACAGCTGGTTTGATAAAGTGTGATAGG